ACAAACTCCAGCATGGTATCAGGGATGAAGAAAAGAGTAAACTACATAACATATCCCAAGCAGAAAGGTGTACAAAGCCATTTGTGGCTTCTATGATTTTTTTTAAATTTCACCCTCAATTGCACCCCCTGAGACAAAGCAAAAGTTAATTGCGGGTATGGTTGCTGTGTATTGAAACCTCCCCAATTGAAATCTACAAATGAAAAGCCTCTACAGGTAATTTGAACCAAGTTATATGACTATTACGATAGAGTTATATTTTTCTCAGTGTACATTTGTGGATGTGGATAACTTCACACCCGTATAAATCATTACATAGCAAGACCTCCAAATAAATTTTTAGATCTTTAAAATGGCGCGGTGGTACTGATTAACACTACTCTATCAAAATAGCAAAAACAATCTACAAAATACAAAAATGCGTACTTACATATTAGGAAGAGTTATTTTTTTTATTTTTTTTTTTTTTTGTTTTTTCGGATTTTTTGTTTTATTTTTTTTTTGTTTTTGTTTTTTTTTTTTTAATTCCTTACATTTACAATGCTAGAACAATATTGCAGGGTGGTAGAAAATTCGTTAGGAGGAGTTCTCTGAATTTTAGGGATAGAATAGCGCTTTATTTTTCTTTTCTGAAAATCTGTATTGAGCATTTCATAAATTTCATAAATATTGGTTTTTTTTTGCGGAACCGCGCTTTTCAAAAGACCTAAAACACGTATTTACAGGTCTTGCTATGTAATGATTTATTTTTTTTAATTATACCAATGTATTGAATCATTCATACTAAAAATTATACCTGGATTTTCGTGCTAAATTTTGGTTTTTGTAATTTTGATAAAGTAAGGTTTATCCGCGGAATCGCGCCATTTTAAAGTCCTAAAAAACGTATTTGGAGGTCTTGCTATGTAATGATTTATTATTTTTTTGAATTATAATTATGTATTGAATCATTCATGCTAAAAATTTTACCTGGATTTTCGTGCTAAATTTTGGTTTTTGTCATTTTTATAAAGTTATGTTTATCCGCGGAAACGCGCCATTTTAAAGACCCAAAAAACGTATTTGGAGGTCTTGCTATGTAATGATTTATTATTTTTTTGAATTATATTTATGTATTGAATCATTCATACTAAAAATTATACCTGGATTTTCGTGCTAAATATTGGTTTTTATCTCGATTAAAATAAATCAAATTTGAGAGGAGAGGAATCCAAGGATCGAGTCGAAGGACATGAAATCCTTAGTAAAATTTCATCTTCTTCGTAAAAAAATTTTTGGATATTTGGACTTTTTACGGATGACACTGAAGCTAGCGGCCTAGCCCACATACTTTGATTACTATACGAGGCAAGAGAGAGGTCCGACACGCCCAACATAGGGCGCGGCCATTTTGAACCCTGTGACACAGTTTACAGCTAAAGAATCAGATCGCTCACTCTGCGTCGGCACTTTGGATCTCAATGTTTCAGTTTATACACTGTGCAACTCGGATAATACAATATATGACAACCGCCTATAATAAAACAGCAGTCTTCTGCGTATCCTGAATTTGTATCCCTGGAGTGGATTTTATTTTAGAACTTTCAACTGATCCGAGTGAGCTAACTGATTCTTTAGCAATAAACTGTGACTTCAAAAATAATATTCACTGACACTGACAGCAGCAAGCAAAATATCAGATGCGTTTTAATCATCCGCTTCTGCTTCCGAAATTATTGGTTTAGTCGTTTTTACCTGTCAGATTAAAACAAGAAAACCGACAATTCCGAAGCAGAAGCGGATGATTAAAACGCACCTATTAAAAATATTGCGCCAAGATGTAGGCAACAAGTAATAAGGGTTCAAAATGGCGAAGTTTTCTCTCCTTTTAAAAGGCACTCAGAAAGCTGCGCAGTGCGACCATTACACATCGGCCAGCAAGAAAGCAGTGGCATAGAATTTAATCGACTTAATAAAAAAATCTGAACGTAAATATTTGGACTTTTTACAGTCCAGCTTTTTTCTAGAGGCCCTCGAGAATTAAAATAAATCAAATTTGAGAGGAGAGGAAGCCAATGATCGAGTCGAAGGACATGAAATCCTTAGTAAAATTTCATTTTCTCCGTAAAAAAATCTGAACGCGAATATTTGGACTTTTCACGGTCAAGATTTTTTATAAAGGCCCTCGAGAATTTAAATAAATCAAATATGCGAGGAGAAGAGGCCAAGAAATCAACCCCGCAATCCAGAACTCTCCAATTTTTTCAGCTTTTTAGAATCGGGTTACTGTTTGATCGATAATTTTTAACTTTAAACTTTCCTACATAAAAAAAGTCAACAAAACTCTGGATCTCCATAACTACCCCTACAAATCGACCCTTAAATAGTAGATCTCTTTAGTTTTCTCAGCTCTTTAATATCAGGGCCTCTAGAAAGAATCTGGTCCGTGAAAAATGCAAAATTCACGTTCAGTTTTTTTTACGGAGTCGATTAAGTTTTACTAAGGATTCCATGTCCTTCGACTCGATCCTTGACCGCCTCTTCTCTCAAATTTGATTTATTTTAATTCTCGAGGGCCTCTAGAAAAAATCTAGAACGTAAAAAGTTCAAATTTTTGCGTTCAGATTTTTTTACGGAGAAAATAAAATTTTACTAAGAATTTTATGTCCTTCAATTTAATCCATCGCCTTTTTTCCACATAAATTTAATTTTGTCCTTTACTGCAGGGCTTTTCTAAAAAATTTGGATGATGAAACTTTTAAATAAGTATTTCTATTTTTTTTTTTTTTTGAGCAGTTTGAATTCTTTGTATTCCCTTTTGTCCTGTGAATTGATTTTCGTTCTTCAAAATACTGCCCTATGTGAATAAAAGGATAAATAGTATTGTTCTGTATGATAATAATGCTAGACTCGCTTGACTTATTTAAAATTTTTACTCTTTTGTTTATTCTATGTCAGGGGCAATTTGTTGATTGCTACGCCACTGCTTTCTTGCTGGCCGCTGTATGCCTAGGCCGCTAGCTTCAGTGCACTCTTTTTACGGTCCAGATTTTTTTACGAAGATGAAATTTTACTAAGGAATTCATGTCCTTCGACTCGATCCTTGGCCTCCTCTCCTCGCTAATTCAATTTATTTAAATGGTTGAGGGCCTCCAGAAAGAATCTGGTCCGTGAAAAATGCAAAATTCACGTTCAGTTTGTTTTACGGAGTCGATTAAATTTTACTAAGGATTCCATGTCCTTCGACTTGACCCTTGGTCTCCTCTCCTCTCGAATTTGATTTATTTAAATTCTTGAGGGCCTCTAGAAAAAATCTGGACCGTGAAATGTCCAAAAATTTACGTTCAGATTTTTTTACAGAGTGTATTAAATTTTACTAAGAATTCCATGTCCTTCAACTTGATCTTTGGCCTCCTCTCCTCTCAAATTTGATTTTTCGTGGTCCTCTATAAAAAATCTGGACTGTAAAAAGTCCAAATATTTACGTTCAGATTTTTTTACGGAGTCGATTAAATTTTACGCCACTGCTTTCTTGCTTGCCGCTGTGTGTCTAGGCCGCTAGCTTCAGTGCCATATATACATTTTTTCTTACTGAATAAATTTGTAATAGTATATTCTCCCCGATTCTCCCATAGGTTTTTTTGTGGTATAGCTTAAGAGTGTTTAAAACTTCTTTGCAGTATTATTTGCCAGTTCTTTTATCCATATTTTATAGAGTTGTTCAGTACAATGTAAAGACCTCGGTAAACAGTGTAAACACACTAAGTAGGTTAATATATAATTCCCATTATAAATATAAAATATTATGATTATTACAAATTCTTTCCTGAAACTTTTTTTCTATAAAAATTAAATAAATCCAACCCTGAGAAACATCGTAAAATCTACCTTCTTACACAAGCGATACCGACAAAAAATAAACAGTCATGTGTAAAATCACTTATCAGTTATCAGTATACAAACAGCAGTAACAGACATTTAGCAGAATTCAGTGATGTATTCATTCATCAAAGACATTGTGTTATTATTGAGTCAAGCCAGGCATTAATAACTCCTACAAGTTAAAAATAACTAATCTCCAAAAGAAAAACAGCTAAAGTGTAACGCAACTTATCAAATAAGTTTTATTTGAGAGACTAACAGATTTTATTAAAATATAAACAAGAAAAATAAAAATAAACCATGTAGATAATATAAAGGTACCAAAAACGTTCTTTAAACCCAAATATTACAAAATATGAATACGATTATTTATGAATGTTAATATTGATTAGGTTGCAAATGATAATAAAAATTATTCACATTATACCTACTTAGGTATGAATATAACGAACTTACAAATATAGACTAGATAGGTACCTAAGTACCTACCTACGTAGATTTAAAATATTGTTTATTATTAATTTTTTTTTCATCAAATATTACAAAAACAGCCGCCACACAGCGATACCTAATACAAAACTTCGAAAATAAAACAGGTGTGTCAATGCAATGGTTTTTGACAGCAGGTAGGTATTTAGGTAATGTCAAAAGTTCATAACCTCGACACTGTGCCATGATACGATTTAATTTTTATTTATGTCACTAGTTTGAATATAACTACCTACAGGGTGAACTTTATTACAATTATTAGACATTTGATTTTCGAAAAATTTTGATACCTACGTACCTAATTAGGTACTGAGGTTAATGGCAATTATGTATAATTAACAATTATTGTTTAATTCCATAAAAACATTATTTTTGTAGGTAAAAACCCAACTTTCTTTAATGGAATTCCATCAAATGACTTAAAAGAATTCAAAATTCCGACAAGCTGCCACAAAAATGCAGATAATATCAATTTAACCAACAAGGTTATTTGGAAAATAAATTTGCTGCTTATTTACAAACCGTAATCGTTTTGTCAGTCTAACTATTAACGTACGTAGAAGAAAATGATTTAGGTGTCTAACGAGATATTAATTGATGTGGATTTTGGCCATGTGTGATCGGGCGGGTGATTGACCCTTATTACTCACCTAGGGTCTGGCAGTACGATTTTCTTGCTGGCCCTTGCCGCCGGGGTGCATTTGCTTTTTTCCATAGCCATCAGATAGCTGACATCGGCTAATACAGCTTCCAGGTCCGCCATTTTGCAGTTTCACAGTTTCACTTCACTTTTCAGCTCAAATATACATTATATTTTCACCCTCACACTGCACTGCCACAATCACACGCGTCTGCCGGTCATTATAATATCAGGACGGCTATTAAATGACATAATAGATTATACGAAGTCGACACCAAGTCTGCTACATTCAAATTTTTAAAGTTCCGTCCCTGGATCATCAAGATTTTTGACGTTTGTTCGACACAAACCTCACGAAAATTCAACACCGACTGATTTTTGGTGTGGAGAACTCGCGTATTCCGAAGCAAAAACTCGACGATTTTCGTCGAGTAGTCCGTAAACAGCTGTTTTATCACCACACACGTGCGGAAAACTCCCTTTACCAATACAACGAAATAAACTTTCCCCAAAACCTACTTTCAAACTAATTGCATTTTAAATGAACATATACCACTTCAAATGTATAAATTAAGGAATTATATGAAATTGTCTTGCACAGATAATTACGTTTGATAACCTTTCATTTTAATGATAAAAACCATATTCAATCTACAGAAACTTTCTTGTTTTAATGTTGGTTCACTGACTAGTTGTCAGAATCTTCAAAGCAATGTTGTCGGATTTCGGACTATTGCTGCATTTATCCGCAAATTAGTAAATTTCATATTTAAAGGTAATAGAGTAGGGCAGTGGCGGCTCGTGGGTTTGAATGTAGGTGACGCGTTGAAAATAAAACAAAAAAAAAATCGGCTTTTTTATTTTTTGTACATAAGGTTGAATCTCCTATCCTTTAAACTTGCAAAATTATCTATTATATCATCAAATAATGGCTCTGATCGTACAAGTTCATTTAAGTGTCTTTTCAATTGAAGTTTTGCTAAATTGGTAAGTCGATCTTCTGTTATTGTATTTCGTAGATATGTTTTAATTCTTTTAAACAAGACTAGAACACTAGTGGATGGAATAGTTAAGATTAAGCAATATATACTTTATAAGCATCTTTGAAAATATCACGATTCTCAAATAGTTTTTCCAACAATTTATCGATGTCAATATTTATAAAGGTTTCATCACTGTTATTAAACTGTAACTCATTTTTTAACCGTTGTCATTTTAATTTACTAGATTACATTTGAACTAAATTATTTAGTGCTTCTGTAGGAAAGCTCTCCAAATATACAGAAAACTTGTAACTGGGGTAAACAATGCTTGAGCTGTTCGATCAGAACTTACATCATGGAATCCTAAAAATATTTCAACTAACGTTTCTTGAAAGTCAACATACCTAATTATTATGTTACATTGAGATTTTTAAGCAATATCTGTTGAGTTGTCTACTTGAATGGAAAAAATTGCAATCATTTAATTCCATTTCAATATATTTGTCAATATATTGAAAAATATAGTTTATTAATTTATTTTGAATTATTTTAGAATTTGCAGAAAATACAAGCGAATTTTTTTATAGTGTTCTTGAATGTCTACAGAACTGAATGAGATATGGGAATCTAAAAGTTACTTAAAATTACCGTGATTTTCGGAAGATGTATCTTCTTTACGACCACGAAATGTCAATTCTTGTTTTTCTAGAAAAATAATTGCTCGAATTGGCAACTGCATAAAACGTCTATTAAGATGCAATTGTTCATTAAATTGTTTTACATATAGCCTAGAGTTTCCTTTTAAATCGTCTTCAATAGTATTTAATTTTTTTTTTAGTTCTGTAAATCTTCATGCACAACTTATATGTTCACATGATGATTCATGTTTATGTAGGCCGCGAGTTACGTTCCCAAAATCACTAAAACTGTCCATACATTTGATTTTACACCTACTATCAAACAGGGTACGCAAAAAAGCTTGTTTAAATAAAAACTACCACACAACCATTTACATTCGGAATACCACTCTTTCCGAAATTTTTGCACAAACACTTTGTCTTTTGACTTAGTTTTTTTGCTTACATTTAGTAGAGGTTCAGGTTTTAGCGAATTTAAAAAGTCTTTTTTATCCTCATTTCACCATCTACAGAATGGCATCTCCAATAGCATACATACTGGATCATGTACTGGAAACATTATTAGAAAAATCGAAAAAACTCTCAATAGTCGCAATTGACCAACTAGTCCAACCACTGTATAAAAATAGTCCCGACCGGAAGAAACAAACTGAATCAACGCATCAAGTGCATTAATTGGCTAGATCTAAACATACCGTTAACATGGCAACCATCATAAACGCGCCGTTAGAATAGACGCGTGTTCGGTGGTTTTATGCATAGCGCGTCAAGGGCTCCGTTCGCTTGGATTAGGAAATCTTTCTATTGTATTAAATTTCCAAAAACAAGCGAGCCCGGACGGTCGGATTTTTTGCGCATCGTTTGTTTCATGCAGTGGTCCAGATACCCCGAAATTAGGTACATTTTTGGAGGTTTCTGTTTCGTAATTTATATAGAGACAAAAATGCAGGGCATTTTGTTACATTCAGTTGATTTTTTTATTAATGTCTACTGAAATTTTGGTGAAACAGCGCGTCACCTGCGTCATCTAGCGAGCCACCACTGGAGTAGGGAGAGGAGTCCCTACGCTGTATCACCTGCGCCATATTGTTACCATTTATTTTTAATGTTTCGGTATTTATTACATTCGTTTCATTTTTATATAATGTTAGAAAAAAAACCTTGAGGATACAATGGTATCTTGTGCCTTACGAGATTTTACACGCCTAGATCTTGTAGAAATAAAAAAAAATAGGGAATAACAATTAACGATGGAGGTATAGGGATTAGGGATAACATATAAATTGGTGAACAGAATCGTACTCTAAAAAGAAAAATATGATTATCTAAACATTAATTAATTATTATTAACAAATTTCTAAATAAATCGGAAAAACTGACTAAATGGATACCGTTTTTACATAGAGATTATCGGTAACCGACCAAATATAGTGGCCTTTCTTCAAGACATTTCGAGGAAAAACACTATTTGAGTCTATTTGAAAAATGAAACTTTATACCTGTATATAATTAAGTTAAATTATTTTCTTATTTAAAATTTTAAATAAGAACGGTTTCATTCTAAAAAAGTTTTTATAATTTCGCCATTTTAAATGGATTTGTCTTACCAAGTAATAAATTGTGAAAACTTAAGCCTACATTTTAAAACATTAATTTATTTTGTTTAAAGATGAATCTACCTGGATAATATCCTCCTATCATTATGTTGTTAATATAATATTTTTGTTTTATTTAACCATACAGGGTGTTTCAAAAAACATGTGTCATCACTCCTGGTGTGATTCCTTACCCAAAGATAAGACAAATAGTTCCTATCAACATGGATCCGCAGAATGCTCTGTTTCAAAAATATATAAGGTGTTATATTTGTTTTAGGTTTTTCAATATATTTTTATACGGCTTTACCGATTAGAATGATATTTCGGTTGTACAATTAACGTACCCAAATATTTTAGTAATAAAAAGATATAAATAGGTTTAACATAGGCGTACGTAACAAAAAATATGTAAAATATGTAACTTTCACTTTTTAATGGCACAATTTACCTTTAACCTTTAATATCGGCTTCTTTAGGAGCTGCAATATTATCAAACTCCGTTAAATATCAAGCTAAATAAAACAATTAAAAAATCTACTATCCTAGTGTCATCTTTATTGACTCGTTACAGTTTTTTATACTGTTGATTATTTTCCAAATTTCCCTCTAAATTTATTTTTAAAAATTGTAAAATTGAAACACTCTGCATCTTTGAAACAAAGCTTCTGCGGACTAAAGTTTTTTGAAAAGTGAATAAAAGATATTTCAAAAAAACTTTAGATAATACCGGTATTACGAATGCGCGCAGCGTATCACGATAAACTACTAAAAATGCATCGCTTGCAGTTTTTTTTTCGCTTTTTAATAACTTATTATTGAACAATAACATCTTAATTCGGTAGTTACATCACAAATGAATAAAAAAACCTTATAAATATAACAAAAAAAAATATTAAAAACTAAAAAAATACCTTAAAGTATGGTTCCGCTTGTGTATCCTCTGTATGCAACAGACGCACAATCGGAACCACACATCTAGGATTATTGAATTTAAAATAGTATTTTCTGTTTGATTTTGAAGCCTCTAAGGCAGCCTTGTTGTAAAGTTCTAGACAATTCTCTTAAAAATTAGTTCTGTGGAGCACCGATTTCTTTCGTCGAGCCATTTGGTAGCCATCACAGACAAAATTCGCTCAGAAAATAATGAACTAGCAGGTACACTTAATAAAAGTGAAATTGCCGGAAAAACATTTAGTATTTATATAGCAGTTTAAAATAACTTTTTTGGTGTGCTTAAATTTAAAAAATAATTGTTTTTGTTCTCAATTTCTTGATAACAGTCTAAAATCTGCATCAACTCAACTAATAACATTAAAACCGCAAAATAAACACTAGTTTTAGCCGCAAAAATTTGTTTGGTTTGTTTGGAAAATTGAATATACATAATCAAACTTTTTCGACAGTTGCACACATGTAAAATGATGAAGTGCGTTCGAAAACAGAGTACTGGAAGTGGGTTTATTTTCTGGGAGCGTGTAGGCCACGTGGGTGCTTTTACGAATAAGATAATATTGAAAAATATTAAAATATAGTTTCCGAAAATGACATTTTAAGATTTAAAAAGGGTTCTTTCGTTCGTGGGAATGAAATACACCAAAGGACACTAAACCTTTCGTTTGGCCCGGTGTAAAACCTACTATACCTTCCTGTAGGCGATATGGTGTCCACTGGTGGATATTTTCTCCACCAGCTATTTAGCAGGAGTAAATTACACTCGTCATGTGTATAAGGAGGAAGTAAACTAGGGTAAATGAGGTGGTATAACTGGTGTAATTTACACTGGTGGACACTGCACCAACAGCGAACGAAAGAATCTAATGTCACAAGGACAATTTGTTTGAAAAAAGGATTGTCCTTTTCAAAAAAGGACAGGTGGCAACCCTGGAATCATCCCACGAGCAATGTCACATATTTTATGAAACACCCTCTATATTAATTTGAGAATAGTTTTATAGTTAGAGCCAAAACGTGCAGGTTTGTGACTTATTTTTTTATGGCTGAATTTATTATTAAATTGTACTATAATATGTGTTCAACAAATTTATTAAACCGCGACATTCAGACTGGGGCGCTCAGGTAAAGTGCCCACTTACAATAAATATTAAATCCTCCACTAATTTCGTAGGGTCATTTTCTCTCTCCAGCGTTTTAAAGTAGTGCGTGAGAAAGCATGTACGTGACTTATTTTCTTATGGATGGTTTTTGGTTTATTTTCAAGTTTTTGTTGTTATTCGCAAAATTCGCTTCCTCTAACATTTTCGCTGGGCCATTTTTTCTCTCCAACGTTTTAAGTCAGCTATTTTCTCTAGTTGTCAGTTCGCTCATTTAGTGACCCACCAACATAAATATTTTGTCCAATATAACCTTTAATAGACACCGACGCGTCGCCTCTGGACTTCTAATAAAAAGAATTTGGTTTGAAGTTAGTGGCAACGCTGCATTTTATTTAGAGCAATGGCTGCCAATGGTGACAGCTCCGAAATTTTCAACCTTCTGACGTCGAAAATCGGAAATTTACTTCACGGTCGAACAGAAGGAGACCGTAATATTCTAAGCAAAGCTTTAGACGATCTAAATTGTTTAAATTACAGGTATACAGTGGTCACAAACCCTACGGTAGGTCTAAACAATTTCCTAACCTCACATATATGACTAATCCAATTTGCAGAAAGCAGTACTTTTGGTCAATCAATGCTGCAGTTTTATTTCTACCGACGATGATGTGTTGGTGCAAAAGTGTAGTCAGTTATTATGGAATCTTGTTAAAAGACAGAGTGTACCTGTTGAGGGAAGAAGTTTGGTGGTAGCAATAAATTGGTGCCTTGACAGTAGTTTGTTTACTAAGGACAGCAATGTAGTTTTAGAAATTTTGCAAGCCTTGGAAGCGTTATTGCGAATTAATATCGATCAAATTCTATCTGTAAGTGAATTCTAAACTTTGCATTATATTAGTTTTAAAACGTTCTTTTAGTTGACGGACAAAATTTCGCAAATTATAATCAAAATAATCAAAGAGGGCGAGAAAAAATGGACTCCCGAAGTTATTTTGATAGCTTTACAGTGTCTAGAGGCCTGTACTGCTATACCAAAGGATGATAAATCGAGTTATAGAGATGGTTGCTTAGAAAATTGTGCAAAAATCTTTATATCCCATCTAAACAGATCAAAAATTACAGAAGATCTTGTACATGTTAAGGTTAGTGATATCATATTGGAGGTAAGAGGTTTTAAAGCAGTTTTAAATTTTCTAGATGTTACAAATTTGCCTTTACGGGCTTCAAAATATCATAATTCAAAATGGTGAGTATTTAAAAAAGGAGCTTGGCTTTATTTTAGGAATTATAAAGACTTTTATGGTATACGGTATAAAAGGAGTGAATTATATGCCTCCACAAAAATTGGCTCCGTCCACACTGAGTATACCTGAAGCCACCAATACTGTTAGAGAAAAGAAAGGAGGAAAGGTATTTGATTGTACTAAGTTTGGTTCTGTGTAGGTTAATTTTCTTTTCTTCTAGTTGACGAAACATAGGAAACAAAGAACTTCTGTTGGGTCTAAAAGGGATAAAAATAATGTAACAGAGGAATTTGTGTTTGATAAGAATGTGGGATACAACCCTGCTACTATATCACTTGATAGCAGTATAAAGTAAATGAAAACAATATTTTTTATTAAATTTGATTTTGATATTTTTTATTTTAGCATAACTTATTTTGGAAATAGAATTAAAACCAGCGATTCAGATTTTTCTGATAATGAGGCTAATGTAGCTGTGAAAATGTCTCAAACACAAAGCAAAGTTAGACAGGCTGCTTTCAGTTTGTTCTACAATGTGATAAAGGTATTTATTGTTGAGTATATCTTTTTGAAAAATATTTTTTTTTACTTGATTTCAGAGGTATTTTAGTATTTTAGGTTGTCTATCTTTTTAAGTAATTTGACAAGCCATTTTTAGTTTTTTTTCTATTTTATTCTAGTTGATGTACAATAGTTCATTCAGCATTTGTTTTTAAATAGGAGGAATCAAGATAACTTTAAAATAAATGCACTGACTGATTATACAGGGTTGTGCAAAAGTCGCTGCAGGGGTTTTAAAACTGTTGTGTTATATGAATTTTATTAATTTTTTTATTACAGTAATAAAGGTCAGTCTATGGAGATTTTTTTAAAAGCATTTTCCATTTCAGCATTTAATTGGTCTACATTAATAATAATAATTAATCTTTATTGGTCCTTTTTTGATCACTATACAATGATGTAGGATATGTCAAGATATATGTAGTGAACAAAACACAATATAAAATCTACATTTAAATATACATAAATACACATATACATATATATTACGTTACCTAATAATAATCCTTAATATTATAAAAACATTTTACTAAAAATTTTTTTAATGTTTGTTTAAAGCTGTTAATGGATTTTATGTTTTTAATATCAGTTGGCAGTTTATTAAATAGTTGAATTCCTGCATACTCAGGACTATGTTCATAAAGAGCAGATACATGCCTAATTGTACGTAATATATTGCCATTATGAGTGTGATAGTTGTGACAATCATTATTCCTGAAAAATTTAGCTTCATTTTTTTTGTATATAGGATTGTCTTATAAATATATATTGAGTGAGTATGTGATATTTAATAAAACGACCCCTGCATGTTTGTCTTGATTCCAGATTGAAGATAAGTCTAATTGCTCTTTTTTGTGCAATAAATACTCTTGTAGCAGCAGGAGAATTTCCCCAGAGTGTAATATTGTATGATATGTGTGAATATATAATTACATAACATACCTGTAGAAGTTGCTTAAGGGTAAATATCTGTTTTAATTAAAGTAGAGCATAACAACCACTATTAACCTTTTTACAGATGTAATTAATATTTGATTCCCAGCTCATATCACTATCTAGCAGTACCCCCTGAAATTTTGTTTTCTGCGACAAATAGACATCATTGCAATTTACCTGTACACATATATTATCATAAATTGTATTCCTTGAAAAAAACTGGAGAGCAACTGTTTTATCAGAATTTAGTATTAAGGAATTTTTATTGCACCAAGTTGAAAAATCTGAAGCTACTAAGTGAAGCTTCTTTTGCAGCTCATCTGGGGAAGTTACATGAGATGCTAAAGTTGTATCGTCGGCATAGAGTATGGTATATTCTACAGACATGTTGAGGAAAATCATTTACATATAACAAAAATATTAATGGTCTCAAAACTGAGCCTTGTGGTACTCCTCGGTTTAGACTTTTTAATTCTGATTTACAGTTACCCACTTTTACACATATATGACGTGAATCTAAATAAGAACTTAACCATTTTAAAATTATGCCCCTGAAACCTAGTGCCTGTAATTTATTTTGAACAATGGATATGTCAATTGTGTCAAAAGCTTTGGGCAAGTCAAAGAAGAGTGCACCCACATACTGTCCCCTATCTAGCTGTCGATATATGTAGTTGAAGAAAACAGTAGTTGCACTCTCCTTTGACCTGTCTGGAAGAACACCATGTTTATGTTCAGTTAGGATATTAAATTTGTCTTAAGAAGAGGTATCAATTAGAATATAATATTTGTATGAGTACATTGTTTTAAGTTATAATTAATATTCCTAATGCTAGGACATCTATTTTTGAGAATGTTTTTCCTTCCATAATAATTACATATTCATTCGAGGTAAATGTTCTTGTGAGATTTGCAATGTCTTCTATTACTTTATCAAGTTGTGCCCCTGGTTTTAGAATAATCTCGACTGATGTATTATCTTGTCCAAATTGTTTTCTCAATTCCCTGTCCAAACCTCTTCCAGTTTCATCTGATAAAATTAGAAACCTCTTTTCGTCTTTTACATTTATTGGTACATCATTGTGCTTGCTTTGGAGATTGTTATCTTTAAAGTTAATGTGAAGGTTTCTCAATTTATTTAAGTGCATCTTATTGTCTTTGGTTAAGTATTCAATATCTTTAGTGAGCCTAGAACCATTGAGAACCTAAACTATAACATTCGATCTGAAATTAGGGATATAAAACCCGAAGTGCTAACAGATGTCATGAAAAATGCTCTTAAAAGAGCACAACTTAGTGAAGAGGGAAACGAGATATGATATGATAAAGCACAGAAATCTCCATATGCTGACCTTTATTACTGTAGTAAAAAAAAAGTTACGACTATTTAAAACCCCGCAGCAACTTTTTTGCCACCTTGTACTTATTTTTATGGCCATATATCTAAACTTGGGCATAATTTTTATTTAATATAAATTTAAATTCCCCAATTGATATTTTTCTAAATAGAAGGTTATGAATCTAAATTTGGACATGAGTATGACTACCTAGTTGCCAATCAATTCTGTATAATTAATATTGACAACAGTGTTGCCAGAATATATTTTTGTTATTTACCAGATTTGTCTAAAAAATTACCAGATTCCATAAAAAGGTTCCAGATTCTATAAAATGTACCAGATTTTTCAAATTGTGTAGTGTGGTCATTAAAGAGCAAAAAAAACACGAACACAACAAACAAGGAAGACCCCCAACAATTAAACATTCCAAACAAAATGGCTGTCAGTGGATTTTGACAGGTTATGATATGATGTGATAAATTGACAGGGTCAGTGATATAGATAGTTATATAGACTGATCATCTATGTTTTTCAAAATAAACAAAAACTTATGCCTTGAAGGAAAAAGTATATAATTATTTTTTTACTATATTCAATGGCTGAAAATTGGTTTTAAAACACTTGCGAGGCAATATGGCCGCTTGCAAAACGACCCGCTTTGAACAATCTATACAACTATATATGCATCATTGACCCTGTCAATGACAGCAGGTCGTTGGAATGTTTAATACACATACTTTGATTTTCTTTTACTATACGGAGAATGGTCGCACTGCGCAGCTTTCTGAGTGCCTTTTAAAAGGAGATAGAAAACTCCGCCATGTTGAACCCTTATTACGTGTTGCCTACATCTTGGCGCAATATTTTTAATAGGTGCGTTTTAATCATCCGCTTCTGCTTCGGAATTGTCGGTTTTCTTGTTTTAATCTGACAGGTTAGAACGACTGAACCGACAATTCCGGAAGCAGAAGCGGATGATTAAAACGCACCTGATATTTTGCTTGCTGCTGTCAGTGTCAGTGAATATTATTTTTAGAGTCACAGTTTATTGCTAAAGAATCAGTTAGCTCACTCGGACCAGTTGAAAGTTCCAAAATAACATCCACTCCAGGGATACAAATTCAGGATACGCAGAAGACTACTGTTTTGTTATAGGCGGTTGTCATATATTGTATTATCTGAGTTGCGCAGTGTATAAACTGCGACGCAGAGTGAGCGATTTGATTCTTTAGCTATAAACTGTGTCATAGGGTTCAAAATGGCCGCGCCCTAAGTTGGGCGTGTCGGACCCCTCTCTTGCCCCGTATAGTAATCAAAGTATGTGGTTTAATATATTATACACGTCAAACGGAAGCATACACTGAAAAAAGAAAACATACTAGATTTTACTTTGAGTAGTTTGAGTGTACTAGAGTATCAGATTCTCAGAGAATGTACTAGACTGGCAACACTGATTGACAATCAATGCTACGTTGCCAAGTAATTATTTTTTCCCCAAATTTGAATACATTTTTTTTGCAATATTTTGCTTTATTTTAAAATGTACAATTTTTAATAAAATATCAAAATTTAATCGTTTTGTACAATTTCGAATCCCATTTTCAGAACAGCGAAAAATCCACAATTTTTTCATATTGGACCAGTTTCATACCAGAAGGTACAGTATCGGGACCACACAATTTAGTGGTGAGCATTCTGAAAGATCCATCGTCTAGGTGCAGAACAGCCGCCTTAAACGTACTTTTAATCCTTTTGAACTCGTCGAAATTGTATTTGGCGCACGCGCAATACAGGTAATCGTCGCCATCATTCGTTCTAGCTACACCAATGATTCTAAACTCTAATAGGATTGGTCAATCCTATCTAATATGTACATTTAAAAAAATGAAGTTTATTGACCGTGAAAAGTTTTTAAGATTTAATGTTAAATAGAATTGTATCTCGATATAATATCGTAAAATTTTCAGTTTCATTATCCCTAAAATAAGCACATTTTTGATGATAATTCCAATCATCATATTATGTAAAAAAAAACATCATTTATTAACATAAAAATTGTAGCAGTTTTTTATCGGCTCGAAGGACCATGAAAAAGTACAGTTTATAATCATGGTCATTTTTAAATGTGCATTCCAGGTCAGATAACTACATTATTTTCCCGTATTATTTCGATGATATATGAAGCATTACACAATCCTATACAGAGTCTAGAATACACCAATACCATCGTTCACGAAGACTCGTATTTTTCCAGCGAAAAGAACTCCGCCTTCACCCCGTTCTCGATGGTGCTCGGTTTGATGATTAAGGAGCTCCACAAGGGCATATGTTTGGCTCTAAACGAAAAATCCGTACCGGTCTTGGTGCAACTGTTGAAATGCCTCGCGGCCTTGGTACAAGCGACGCCCTATCACAAAATGGGCCAAGGCCTGATCACGAAAATCGTGAGGAACGTCAAACCTTTCGTTTATCACAAAGGTACGTAATGACAGGAACAAGGGACTTGCTTGTACCCTTCAGTTACCTTTTGTCGGTCTTCCCTAGGCTCTATTAGCTTGTTTCCTGTTACTGCTTCTCTTACCTTCCCTTGACTCTTCCTCCATTGTCTCCCTTCTTTCTCTTTGATCCTTCATTATAAGTTTTTTATATTACACCAGCTAAGTTTTTTAATTTTAATTGATATTCTATAATATTCAAACACTAAATACGCTAATTTGTTTATTAACTATTTATTTTTGCATAGCACTACACTAATTTATATTAAATACTTATATTCTAATTTATTTATCAATATTTATCTTTATAAATCGAATATCTTCCTTAAACTATCTCATATCGACAAAGTTGCGCTATTTATAAGAAAATGTGGCAGCCCAGTCCTGTTTTTCGATGATTTTCAGGCCTTCTAGACTAGCCGATACCAGGATCGATGACGTGTCTGACAATTTCTGTTTCTAGAGTTTTCTCGTAGCACATTGGTCGACTACATCGATCAGACAAGTTGGCGGTAACTAAGTAGAGATCAGGACCGGACTGGTCGCACGACAGTATTTTCTAATACCAAATACAAAACGATAAGAGTTGAATTTTTTGAAGTCTATATTTGGTTATTTGGACCAAATTTGAGTCAATAATTTAGGATGGACAATACCAGACTCCCACAGAGCATATTACGTAATTTGAAACTCAAATTACCTCGATTCTGGTAGAATTAACGGAAAACTGGATATAATTTTTTGACTAGAAGTGAAACATAATCTTGAAACCTTAGTTTGCAGTCATATATGTCTACATTTTTGACACTTCTACATGATTTTAAAGGATCACCTTGAAATGACTAGTGTTCTGAATTTGTAGGACAAAATAATATTGTATGTCTTTTACTGGCGTTTAGTTTAAGGTTATGATTCATAGAAAATGTATATACAGCATTTAGATCTGAATTTATGTTGCGAAGCTATGCCTACTTCACGTTGGGCAAAGGAATACTATAGTTGTGTAGTCAGCAAAAGAATGTAGAAGAGAGAAAGTAAATCTATGTAGAAATCTACGAAAAATCAAGGAATCTACGTTAAATGTTGGAACACAATAATATCCTAAACCTATTTTAAATCAAACCGATTTTGTAAAAGAGAGGTCATAAACCTAAGTAAAATCAAGAAATCTACGTTCTGAAACCTTTGTTTGCAGTCATATATAATATCTACATTTTTAGCACTTTTACAGGATTTTAGAGGTTCATCTTGAATAACATATGCTAAGAATTTTTAGGACAAAATAATATTGTACAGCTCTTAACCTATTTTAACTCAAATCTATGTAATAAAAGAAAAGCCATAAACCTAAGTAAAATCGAGAAATCTATGTAAAAAAATATGAAAAATTAAGAAATCTATGTAAAATGTTGGAAGACACCAATAATAATTTCCTAAAACTATTTTAAATCAAATAAATATATGCAATCAATAAAAAAGAGGACAGGTACCTAAATAAAATCGAGAAATCTACAAAAAGTCTACGAAAAATCAAGAAATTGACATAAAAACCTATGCAAAATCAAGAAATCTACGTCCTGAAACCTTAGTTTGCAGTCATATATATACAAAATAATATTGTATAGCTCTAAACCTATTTTAACTTAAACCTATGTAATAAAAGAAAAGCCATAAACCTAAGTAAAATCGAGAAATCTATGTAAAAAACATGAAAAATCAAGAAATATCTGTAAAATGTTAGAACACACCAAGATTAATTTCCTAAAACTATTTTAAATCAAATAAATCTATGCCATCAATAAAAAAGGTCAGAGCTTAAATAAAATCGAGAAATCTACAAAAAGTCTACGAAAAATCAAGAAATCTACCTATAGTTATGGAATATTCCAAGAATAATTTCCTAAACCTATTTTAAATCAAATAAATCTAAGTAATAAAAAACAGGTCATAAACGTAAGTAAAATCGAGAAGTTTACATAAAAACCTATGCAAAATCAAGAAATTTACGTCCTGAAACCTTAGTTTGCAATCATATATGATGTCTACATTTTTAGCAGTTCGATATGATTTTAGAGGTTCATCTTGAATGAATAACGTACGCTCAGAATTTTTAGGACAAAATAATATTGTATAGCTCTAAACCTATTTTAACTCAAATCTATGTAATAAAAGAAAAGCCATAAACCTAAGTAAAATCGAGAAATCTATGTAAAAAACATATGAAAAATTAAGAAATCTATGTAAAATGTTGGAACACGTCAAGAATAATTTCCTAAAACTATTTTAAATCAAATAAACCTATGCAATTAATAAAAAAGAGATCAGATACCTAAATAAAATCGAGAAATCTACGAAAAATCAAGAAATCTACCTATAGTTTCGGAACATTCCAAGAATAATTTCCTAAACCTATTTTAATTTAAATAAATCTAAGTAATAAAAAACAGGTCATAAACGTAAGTAAAATCTAGAAATTTACATAAAAACCTATGCAAAATCAACAAATCTACGTCCTGAAACCTTAATATGCAATCATATATAATGTCTACATTTTTAGCACAAAATAATATTGTATAGCATATACTGGAGTTTCGTTTAGGGTCATGATTCATAGAAAATGTATATACAGCATGCAGACCTGAATTTGTTTTCCAAAGCTACATCTACTTCACGTTGATCAAAGGAATAATATAATTATTGCGTGTAGTCAGCAACATAATGTATATTTACATTCTCCAATAATTTATAAAAGTCTGAAATATATATTGAAAACTAAAGGGGAATAAGGACAAAGCCTTAGGGTACACCTGATGTTACACACTTTATAAGTAGATTTGTGCTACATTTACTTTTTGCCTTTTCGTTCCTGCCTTGACTATTCGTTTTGTGAATTAAAATTAATATTTCAGACGCTACCGTCCAAGTAACGGCGCTGATAGTACTAGGGTGCGTCTTAGCTTCGGAACCAGTGGTACCGGAAACTCGAGACATAATGTTAAGAATGAACCTGAACAGTTCTAAACCAATCGATTTTACAACCGATGAGGACAACGTTGTAGATTTAAACACTATCGATTACGCCATGTTTTCCGATTCGGACGATAATGAAGATCGAGAAAATGACGCTGTGCCGTGGTTGTTGAAGAAATGTTTGAACAATTTGGGGGTGCAGTTTGATCGAGACGAGGTAAGTGAAAAATATTGTTACGCAGGTTTTTTAATAAATAAAACAAAGATTTTAATGTTTAATTAAGCTATATTTATTAATAAAAAATATAGATATACAATTGTATCTAACATTATTCGTATACATTTTCATCTTCGCTTTCTGAAGAATTACCAGCTTCAAGCGGCTTTGCAGAAATTAGTAAATTAATTGTTTCTGGCAAAAAAGACTTTATTTTTCTTTTAATATTCCTCATGCTACTTAAGAGGGGGTCTGAACTTAGAAGCAGACGGTTAAAAATATCCATGTTACAATTTTCTCTAGAGAATTTTCGCGCGAAGTCTTGGCGGTATGAGCGGCAATGCTTCCGCGGCTTCTTCAGACAGCTGCCCAATAGGCAACAATGCAGTTTTTATTATAACTGCACCATGAATAAGTATTTTGTGCTTCGTTGGTGCCATTGGGTGCCTTGGGAATAGCTGCACATATAAGCGAGCAGCATCTAATGCGTATTTGTCATACTTTTCCGGATCAATTGTATGTCCTCTCGAAATCGTTTCTAGTATGACCTCTAATTTATAAATTAGGTCATAACTAATGCCTGTTATTTCGGAAGCCACTTTCGGGTCTTCAAAAAATCTTCGGCTCGTGTTTCCATCATTTGTGTTGCCAAAATTTGCCTTTGGTATATCCACCAGTTTCATTGCGAAATATTTTCTGGATTTCCAGTTTTCTTTCTTTTTCGATATTTTTTCCGTTTCTGTTTTTCTCTCACTGTATTTTTTCACCGGCAATTTATAATAGTCTAAGATCCGAAATAAGGTCGACCTTCACCCATCTGTTTAATGGATGAAAGTTTCTTTTTATTAAATAAAATTTGTTTATAAATATACCGCAAAAGGGTTGCCTAAGAAAATACGGTCGAGTATCTATTTTCTTAAAATAAAAAAAACACCCTGTAAAGTATTCCCCAGATGCTTCGACTATGCCGAAACTTTAATCAGCTCACCGCAGGATAGATTAAAGCTTAAGTTTAAAATTTGGTGTTTTTCTCTTTTTCCGTTTTTGAGTTGTCTTCAAAATTCGAAATTTGCACTTTTCCTTAAATATCTCGAATTAGCCTCTCATGCCCGGCTAGCCAAGTATTCACCGCGTTCGGCTCGTAAGGATGCCTCCCATGTCTGCAAAGCCAAATATGAACCACGTGCGGTTTCTACTTCTAAACTACGTCAAATGGTACGGTACTCCCGGCTCAGAAGAAACCCCGACAACGGCAATCCGAGTACTCGGCTTCTCGTACATGCCGATGTTAAGCCAATTACGTAGAACAACACCGAGAGAAAACCAAAGAAATCTACAAAGAAATTAACGAACATATACGACAACAAAAAAGCCAACATAGACAAAAGAAATGAAACCAGACATACACCTATTACCTACAAGCCCAGAATAGTCCAGAACGACAACTCTGTGACAGTTGACACACCTACAACTTCAGTTCATAAGAAGAATATCAAGTACCAGAAAACCAAAGTAAGCTAAACACCCACTGCTCCACCACAGAAATGATGTCTCTCCAAGGAACATTCCCAATCCAGCTACTACTCCAAGGAATATACAAGAGTCAAGAGAAAATTCAACAACAAAACACAGACAACAGACATCAACCGATGATGAAGAAACTGGCAAAGTCTTGTTCGTCCCTCACAAGACTCCTCTAGGGGATGGAGAAGTTACAGAACATTGACCTGCCGACTTATTTGTGGTTTACTGGGTGGATTATTTGGATACTTTAGATTACAAAAAATGTTACTTTGTAAGACAAATTAGAAGAAAATTTTTATTAAATACTTACTAAGAATAAATGACAATTTCTAAGAGTAATTATATTAATTAATAAGTGAAATAAAAAATCATTATTCAATGCGGAAAAAAAGAATTGAAATCAAATATTTTGACTCAATGATGAATAATATACGAGTAACATTTTAAGTAAAAAAATATATCTCCGTCTATGGGCAGTAAATCAAAGAGGTCGATTTGTTGATGTTCTTAGCTAGTTGACTTCCCGCTAGCAATTCGTTTTGTACACCAATTTTTTTCGAGTACTTCAAGCAGTGGCCGGCCTTTTTTTGCATTTGCGGTATTCCTTCATAGTTGACTTATTGTTTAATACAACTTATGTGCCTAGATCATTTTATCTATTTATCTCTTTTTAACAAAATTCTTATATGACTAACTAAATTCGAGCCACACTTGGCGGCGATTGCGGGATAGTTCAAACCCATTTTGGCGGCCGCTTTGAAGTTTTTTGTTGTCGGCAGTATACCTATATACAATTTTCTTCAACAAAAAATATGTTTTTGGTTTTCGGCATGTCATGAAACAAACCACTAAAGGAACAATGCAAATCACACAGAAAACTAAATTTAAACAATAGTATACTAAAGTATATTAATGTATATACCAAGTGTCTCATATGTTTCTGGATAACTGTTAAACGGGATAAAAGTGTTTTACCTGATGAACCCAAATCAACCTATTGTAAAACTACCCGCTAGAAACCACCATTATCATTATTGTTTCAAACCACGCACCCATACTTTTTTTAAATTGATACATTTTTCTCTTCATGTCAACGATATTTAGGGTTGCCAGACGTTACGCTTTTGGCGTATTTGCCACGCTTTTTCACTTGCTTGTACGCGCAACGCCATAGTACGAAAAAGCTACACTTTGAAAAAAAAATGCCACTCTTTTTATGCAAATGCCACGTTTTTTAATTTAAAACCGTAGAGGAACCGGATTTATACAAAAATAGACAAATCTACGCGTAAAGGACCTTTGTTTTTACGAAAAATATAAGCTGAGAATCTTTTTTTTTTTTTTTTTTTTAGAAGAAATTTCACAAAAAATGGACCTGATTATGTAAAAATGCTTAGTATTTGAACCTAATGCTCTGTCGTCAGTTATCACGCTTTTCACTTTCTGAAATCTGGCAACCTTAACGATATTATACGATGTATTTGTCAAAATTGTAAATAACAGACTCATTTGACCTGTTTCTAAGGGGTGCGTTGTTTGACAAGCGGTTGATTTAAACTATCTCCTACAAAAATAAGAAATTAAATTTGTATTATATAGTAAAATATTTCCCATGTTGTCAACCTTTTTTTACCGTATGACTGAACTGAGGTTGATAAATTGGATCATATTAACAAAAAAACAGCTTGAAATTGAAAAATGATTGCTAGGAATGGTTTTATTTTATTTTACACCCTTTGGACCCTCCGTAGTATTACCTTAATCCATTTGTAGCGTGGTGGCACTGCAGCTTGCAGTTTATTGTGCCACCATTTGAACGTCCCACTACTTTCTCAATTACTCACTCATTCACCGTTATTAATTTCACATCGTCGATGGTTAAACGCTTGTTGGATAAATCACATGGTGGCATGGCCCATGGTAATCGTCCCAGCCAACAATCATCCACGACGTGACTGAAGATATCACAGCTGTTGCGAGAACGCGGATGTACTTTAATCTCACGCTAGTCGCTCGACTAGGGATGGTTTCTAGGGGGTGCTTTGGCAAAGGTTGATTTGATGCTATTAAATCATTTAGACAATAGCTGGCCAGAATCCTATAGGATACCCGGTATATATCCTACATCGGCACGTGTCGCAAGAAAGTTTTTATTTCGCTAATATCAAATATTTTAGCCACTTATTTTTCAGATATACTGACTTTTTGGATTTCTATTTGCGATTTCTCGACAATAAATTCACAATTTTTAAAAACCTTAGTTCACTTAAATAAAAATCCAGTACCTAATTAATAATACCTAATTCTAATTTTTCTCGAACTGTTTTTAAGAAAATTAAACAAAATTACGTCACAGTTCCGTGAAATAAAACGAGAAAATCTAAAATGAAATCATTTCAAAACACTTATCTACCTTTTTGCCGAATTTTAATTATAGAAGGTTTTATGAATTTTGTGTTTCTTTTGAGACATCCAGTATGCTTCTACTTTCTTATAAAACGTTCATAACTGATCTGAAAAATACTAATACACAAGTTATTTTAGCTACCTATATTACCTAAATAATGAACAAAAAAAAATATTTCGAGAATAACCTTCTCTTTCCGAAACACAGACAACTGCCCGACAAATTAATCGCCCATCCCTTACACAAATCATTTTCTAACGATTCAGTATGAAAGGTCTGTGGATGTGGATTTACAAATATAGCGTGCAAAACCCAAGCGAATAACGAATTGTCAATGTTGCAACTATTTAATTCCCTGTGTATTTGAAACCCACCTTATTTCGTTTTGTTTGCACTTTACAACAATCAAAACTATATTCCGAATAGAGTACATATGTTAAATGTTGGGAACGATTCGACTTGCTTGTTTTTAGATCTATCGATGAGTAAAATGTTGATAAAACAGGGTTTTTCGCGTATATTATTTGAAATTTTAACTTGTATTTTATTTCTCAATTTTCTCTGTTATTACCACATCCCCAACTAGCCATTCATAAAAGTGTATTTGTTGTGAAGTCCTCATCATCATCTACTCTATAGTCCAGGAGACAGCGACGATTTTCGGTATTTATTTTCCCAGTCAGCAAGCACGGATAGAGAATTGTAGGATTAGCAATTCTAAGCAAACTTCATATATATTTAGAGGGAGGATCCAATGGGCTGAGGCCGAAAATACGTCAAAACATACGAGAACACGGCCCTTTTTTTCCATTGATAAAAATAGTTTTAGTAATAAGAGATGTACTGAAGTTAAGTAAAAAAATAGTCTGATTAATCTGTGAGTATGGATAATATATTTGGCAAGTGCATAAAATACACTTTCAAACGAGTTATGTACACAATTATTTCTACGACCACAATTATTTAAAGAATGTTTAAAGGTGTTTTGTATATTAAAGTGTACGCATAGGACACATAAATAAAATTATATATCACAATGTTTCACCTAACCAGTTGGTTTATTTATAGAAATTAAACATAATAATTGAAGATATTACAGAAGAAAATAGGAAAGTAAATTACATTTCCTTTTACACTTTTATATAATAATTGTTTTATTTAGAATTCACGAAACACTTATTACTCTACATTAGGTATAATTATTGTTAGTTTCGTTATGTCAAATCATTTATACTAGAGGTGTGAGGAAAATACAGTGAACTGTGGAACGCCAATATCGTTGGATACGCGTGGTAGAAATGGTCCTATATTACTGCTAAAAACAGCTAAATTTTCATGGAAACACTGTACTTTTGACATTTGTGATACTCCAAGGCATATGCATTATTGATGTAATCTCATAATTTTACAGTAATATTTTTTGCAATTTTGATGTGATTTTTAGGTTATTATGGTTATTCATTTTATTTGGTTCTGATCTTTTGCGCTTTTAGAGTATTTGTCTTTTATAGTTATAGTTTTTAATTTGAATTTTAATGTGGTCTATTTATATTTGATTGCTGCTTTTCGACTAGTGCTTTATTCTTTTTGTGTTAAAATAAGCTTTATAACCATTAAGTACATGCTTCTAGTTAAATATCAACTAATTTACCTAATCGTCATCGGGTGCTTGCAACAATGGGAAAAAGTGTATGGTTTTTTTGGTGTAAAGTTAGACGCTTTCATTTTTCAGGTAAGTTATTTTTAGTTATTTTTTACTTAAAAGGATAGCAATACGTCCTGGTTCGAAGTGTGACTGTTGATTTTTAGCTATCTGAGCCAAATTATCGGCTAAGTGTCCTCTTTTGGGGCACCTAGAACCGAAAACTATATAGTTACATAATATGTTTTTTTAAATTATATTTCAATAGGTATGCAGCTTGAATGAGGGCTTTAGGAAGAGAACCTAAGACTGAAACACTGACTGCTATATATGCCGTTTTTAGAGCACATTTCATATAAAGTGATTTCATTCTAGCAGGAACTAGGAAAGGTTTAAAAAACATGCTGTACCAGCTATTACTTTAACACCTCGTCTCTTTAAGTTATTATTACTTCATTCTAATGCATATATTAAAATGGTTTTTAACTTGTGCCCTTATGATTAAAAGATGTAGGTATTTTAGTTATGTTATAATAGAAATATATGATACATTGTACTGACTGACCTACTGGCCACTGGTAATTCCACTTTTACTCCCTTTTTTCATAAATTGTCAAATTATTTAAAAACAAATACATACCTAGCTATTTTCTGTAAATTACATTAAAAATGTAAAAAACGTATTTCTCATCTATTAAATTGTTATTAACGATAAAGAATACTTTTAATTTATTAAAACAAAAATAAAACCTGACTCGATAACTTAAATCAGTGAAAATAAGTTGCTTGAGATGGGGTCGTTTTTATGGAAAATTTTAGTGTTAATACTTTACTAATAAAACTACAGTTAATTTATCTTATATATACCGGGTGTCCCAGATTTTTTTGCCCAGCGGATATCTCGGTTATTTAATGATATAAAATTGTAAAAAAAAATATGAATAATATTTGTCTAGTAGCCTTTTAAATTCCACTACATAAAGTTATATTCATCAATCCACCCCATAGGAACAACCCCTAACTTTTTTTTTTCAAATGTCACCCCTATATTTTTTTTCGCTGATATAAATACTCAATTTGTCCCGAATACAACGATATGATTTTTGATATACTTTACAGAGTCATAAAGCCGGTAAAGACTAAAAACCAATGTTGTGGTTAAAGTCATTAATAATTAGTTTACATTTTATCATTTTATTATATTAAAAAATAACAAATCCAATGAATAGGTAAACCTCTTAATATGTTTTTTAAATAATTGAATATTTACAAAAATTGTTCGAAATGGCCCCCATTACTTGCCAAACATGCTTCAAAACGTCGAATGAGTTCACGAGTACATGACGCTGTAATCATTTCTGGTGTAATGTTATTGCAGGCTTGTACTATTTTATTTTGCAAATCTTCTAAATTCAATGGCTGTGTTTCAAATACCACGGTCTTCAGATATCCCCATAAAAAAAAATCTAGAGGCGATAAATCTGGTGAACGCGCAGGCCACCTCAAAGGGCCGCTGTTTCCGATCCACTGATTTTCAAAGCGTTCGTTTAAAAATTGGGTAACTAAATTACTATTATGTGGAGGAGCTCCATCTTGTTGCCACCACATAGCACCTCTTTCTTGTATTGGAATTTCTTCAAGAAGTTCTGGAAGGTCATTTTCAAGAAAGTGTAAGTACCTAGCACCAGTTAACGTACCTTGAAAAAAATAGGGACCTATCAGTCGTCCCTGAAATAATCCACACCACACATTTACTCCCCAGATGGTCTGAAAGTTAGTTTCCCTAACCCAGTGAGGGTTTTCAGGAGACCAATAATGCATATTGTGACGATTTACAGTAGCATTATTGTGAAACCTTGATTCGTCACTCCACAATATCTGGTTCAAAATGTTGGGATTTCGTTCCATTAAATCTTCAAAATGTGCTATTAATGTTATCCTTCTTTCGAAATCTCCAGCTCTAAGTTCCTGATGCAAATGAATTTTAAACGGATGAAAATTATAGGATTTTAGGATTCTTTGTACTGACGACTTACTAATATGAACCTCGTTAGCTAGGTTTCGCGTCGATATCTGGGGATGTACTTGCACATAAGCTAATACATTAATGCACATTTCTTCAGTTCTTACAGCAGCAGCATGTTGACGATGTTTGTCTTTTCCTGGAAATGACCCTTCTCTCATCCTAGTCTCAACATAAGAATATGTTTTACGTGATGGTTGTCGGCGCTCAGGAAACCTCTGTTGATACAAGTGTACAGCAGCACGAGAATTTTTTTGGCACTCACCAAAAATTAAAAGCATATCAACATATTCGTTTGGAGTGAATGTAAAGGGCATTTTGTCTGTTGTTTATAGCTAGCGAACAATTTCAGAAATGGTCTAAGCATATCGTTAGTTAGTTATAGGTAACAAAAAAAAAAACAAAAACGAAGCAATTCTAATCAAAATAAAAAGAAAATACCAGGTGATACAAAATTAATGACTTTAACCACAACATTGGTTTTTAGTCTTTACCGGCTTTATGACTCTGTAAAGTATATCAAATATCATATCGTTGCATTCGGGACAAATTGAGTATTTATATCAGCGAAAAAAAATATAGGGGTGACATTTGAAAAAAAAAAGTTAGGGGTTGTTCCTATGGGGTGGATTGATGAATATAACTTTATGTAGTGGAATTTAAAAGGCTACTAGACAAATATTATTCATATTTCTTTTTACAATTTTATATCATTAAATAACCGAGATATCCGCTGGGCAAAAAAATCTGGGACACCCGGTATACACAACGGAAGAGTTAATTTGATTTTCTTCTTGTTGAGTTTCAAAAATAGTAATTTAACATGATTTAAAAACAAATACATGAAATGGGCAAAATAGACCTGCAAAGGCACTTTGTACACAATCTCACTTGTATCGATGTGACGTAATGCGCGAATTCAATCTGGCTTACTTTTGTTAATAGATTGGCGTTCCATTTTAAATACACAGTTCACTGGGAAAAGATTATTTAAATATACACGGACCGGGAAAACAAGTACTTAAAAAATTCACTAGCTCCTGGACTAGTACTGTATCGAAGGAATTTTATGAATGAAACAAAATACGACCCTAATACAATTATGGTCTACAATAGTTCCGCTGTTGTCAGACGTTATTTTTTTTGGGCAATTTAAAGACTTAACAGTATTACAAGCAAACGTAATTACATTACTACAGTTAAAAACATCGCAAACTTGGCATCAATATTTTAATTTTATCCAAATATTGTATTTCCGTCGAGGATCATCCGGGTTGACTTCAGAAATTGTGTAATCTGTCTTAATTATATATATCTATAGTTAAAAGCACGTAAACTTGGCATCAACGTTCAATCAGATTATTGGGTTTCTACCGCGGACACCAACGTTCATTCTTCAAAATTTTTGTAAATAATCCTATCTGTCTTGGTTATATATCTATGGTTATTACATTGATTTGATAATTGTTTTGAACTGATTGTATTTGATTATTAATAGAGTATTTGCTTGACTCCTTGTTATATCTTACTATTTTTTTTTTTATAATTGTTTAAACTTTTTTATTATTATCAAAGTTATATTATTTATATTGACGTCAGCAACTGCTCTCATTTATTTCAAAAACGTCCACCCAATCTTAGCTCTTTGTCTTGTATAGTTTTCAAATTTATTAGGAAATAAAATTAAACGCAATTAAACTGTGGCTTTAACTAAAAAACTCACCAGGGGTCATTAGTGAATGTTGTACTAATTGAAAACAAATATTGTATCTTTTTAAGCCAACGAAAGAAAAAGACGGATCGGTGTCCTTAGTGCCGGCTCCAGTAAAATTGGAATCTCTTCAAGTGATCTCGGCTATAAGCAGAAACTATTTCGATGATCTGTTGGCGCCTTATTTGTCGCACGTGACGCGCGGCGTCGTGTCATCTTTTTCCGACCCGAACGCCGATCTGAGACTGCACGCCGGTCGAACCGTGGATTTTATCGGACAAGGAATTTGCCGGTTTATCAGCACACGAGGTATTTATTCGCATTTTATTTTGTACTCGATTAATAAAATAATAATAATAATAATAATAATCTCTATGAAAAACAACAATTCCTTTGTCTAATACTGCAACAGGAATAAAATTATAACTGTTGAATAGAATTTAAAGGTTACTTTTATAATTACTGCTACAAGATGGTGTTCAAGAATCGGGCTCGAAGGACCATGAATAAGATTTCAAAGTTAATTTTTTAATTAATACTACAAGATGCTTTTCATGAATCAAACAATCATGAAACCTTCTCAATAATGAAAGGAAAGAGATATAAATTTAATTTCAACCCTCTAACTGTGATTTTGCTTACTAAGGAGAATGCTCTTTGAGAGTGAGGTATAATTTACTATCTTTGCTATTTATAATTAAATTCCTGTCACACTATTAGCCAAAGGATTAGTTGTTTTCGAAGGGAAAACGGCCCCTCCTATTTTGTAATACATGGCATCGAGAATTTCTTATTTTACTTCTTGATCACATTTAAATTTGGAATTATTTTGTTTTTTATTAAAGAATGTTGTTTTAGAGACAAAAGATTCGATACCTTTTCAAAATTTCTTAACCTTTTGGGAGACATTGCTCAGCAGTTCTTTGATCAAATTGCTCCAGTCCGAGGAGCAACCGGTCTTGAGAAGCATCGGCTGCGATTGTATTGGTAGCATAGGATCTGATATTTTCGAACAATTACCTGTAAGTCAATAATCTCTTTTTTGATCTATAAGAACAGTATGACATCAATGTTTTAGAGAGATAAACAAATCATATGTGTTACAATGCTATTTTCCTGTACCAGAGATGAAGAAAATAACGTTAAAGCTGCCGCTGTAAGGTCTCTAGCCATATGCGTCATGTATTCAACTCTACGAGAGGTACCATTAAAAACAACTTAACGATTTTGAAGTTCCATAACCTCAAATTTTATTTTAGGATCCTGGTTTTGTGGTGGACACCGCAGATGCCATATACAGGACTCTAAACGGTCCAAATTTAATGCTCAGGATAAAAGCTTCGTGGTCCTTGGGAAATTTAAGCGATGCTTTAGTTTTAAATAAGTAAGAAATGAATTTTTAAATGTTCCGAGATCCTGGATATTACTTATATGTAAAGTAACTTTGATGTAGGAGGGTATTAACATTGAAAGTTAAGAAATTTTTTACTTTTGAACGTAATATTGGGAATATTTTTCGTAGCAAAACCGAAGATGGTATCGAAGAAATTCCTAGCGATCTGATTCTAAAGTTGATGCAAATTAGTATAAAGGGAGCTTCGGATAACGATAAGATCAAAATGAACACGGTGAGAGCCTTGGGGAATTTGATACAGTTAATCAACAGTCGGTTAATGGATAAGAAGGAATTCAGTCAGATGGTCGAGAAGAGTTTTGAAATTTTGGTTCAAAATTGCACTAGTGGATCTAATATGAAGGTAGATATTAAAACGTTGTAAAATTAATAAAATTTAATAATCAAATCCGTAAAACTGTATAAAATTAAAATAATTCTATGTTCAAATTGTAAACGCTCTAGAAAATTGTTAAAAACTATCAATATTCCAAAAAAATACGCAAACTAGGACAAAAACTTAAATATAGAAATAAAGTACTAAACCTATGTAAAAAGGATTGAAACTTAAGTAAGTTCACAAAAAAAGTTGAATATTCCATGTTCAATTCCCTAAATCTAAGTAACATCAAGAAATATAAGTAAAAACTAACGAAAAATCAAAAATTTCCTTAAAATTTTGGACACTCGAGAAATCATTGTGAAAAGTTACTAAAAATCAAGAAATATATCTAAAAACTTCGAAAAATAAAGAAATTCCGTAAAATTTTGAAACAGAATAAACCTATTTTAAATCAAGTAAACCTATGTAATAAAAGGAAAGTCATAAACCTAAATTAAATCAAGGAATCTGTTAAAACCTACGGAAAATCAAGAAATTTCTTAAACCTATTTTAAATCAAGTAAACCTATGTAACAAGGTCATAAACCTACGTAAAATCGAGAAATCTATGAAAAAACCTACGAAATATGAAGAAATCTACGGGAAAACTACGAAAAATCAAGTAATCTAGTTAAAATGTTGAAACATTTTAAAAATAATTTCTTAAACCTATTTCAAGTCAAATAAACCTATGTAACAAGGTCATAAACCTACATAAAATCGAGAAATCTATGAAAAAAACCTACGAAATATCAAAAAATATTTGTAAAATGGAACTTTCCCAGAATAATTATCGAAACCTAGTTTAAATCCAATAAAGCTACAAGTAAAATATGGAATTATAAGTAAATATCTACGAAAAATCAATAAAAATTCACTTAAAGTTTAAGAACACTCTAAAAATAATTTTCTAAACCTATGTACTGAAAGAAAATCGACAAATTATGTAAGAATCAACGAAAAATTTACGTAAAGGTTTGGTACTTTAAGAATGATTTCCTAAACCATTTTTAAATAAAATAAATCCATGTAATAAAAGTAAAAGTGAGAAATTATTTAAAAACCTACAAAAAATCAAGAAATCTAAGTAAAATGTTGGAACAATCAAAGAATAAATCTGTTTTAAATCAAATAAAGCTGTTTTAAGAGTCATAAACCTAAAAATAATCGAGAAATATATGTAAAACAAAATCAAGAAACCTATGTAAAATCTTGGAACACTCAGAGTAATCATCTAAATCTATGTAATAAAAGAAAGCCCATAAACCTAAGTAATATCGAGAATTATACCTAAAAAAACATAAAAATCAAGAAACCTATGTAAAAGGTTGAAACCAATTTTAAATCAAAGTAAAACCTTCGAATAATCAAAAAATGTCGGGAAGCTCAAAAAATTATTATCAAAATCTATTTTACATAAAATAAATCTAAGTAGAAGCCATAAATTTAAGTGAAATTGAGAAATTATGTAAAAAAAAATAATTTCCTACACCTGCTTTTAAATCAAATAAACCTATGCAATCAATAAAAAAGGTCAAATACCTAAATAAAATCGAGAAATCTACAAAAAGTCTACGAAAAATAAAAAAATTACCAAAAATTTTGGAACATTCCAAAAACAATATCCTAAACATTTTAAATAAAAAAAAGTCATAAGCCTAAGTAATAACTAGAAATCTACATAAAAACCTATGCAAAATCAAGAAATCTATGTAAAATATGACAAAGAATTATTTACTAAACCTATTTTAAATCAAATAAACCTATGTAATCAAAGAGTGGCCATGAAGCAAAGTAAAATTAATTAATATATTTGTAAAACCTTCGAATAATCAAAAAAAATGTCGGGAAACTCAAAAAATGATTATCAAAAACTATTTTAAATAAAATAAATCTATGTAGTAAAAGAGAAGCTATAAATCTAAGTGAAATTGAGAAATTATGTAAAAAAAAATAATTTCCTACACCTGTTTTAAATCAAATAAAGCTATTTTAAGAAAGGCCATAAACATAAACGAGAAATCTATGTAAAAACATATGAAAAATCAAGAAACCTATGTAAAACAAATCAAGAATAATTTCCTAAACCTATTTTAAATCAAATAACCCTATGCAATCAATAAAAAAGAGGTCAGATACCTATGTAAAATCGAGAAATTACAAAAAGTCTACAAAAAATCAAATATCTACGTAAAGTTTTGGAACATTTCAAGAATAATTTCCTAAACCTATTTTAAATCAAATACACCTATTTAATAAAAGAGAAGTCCCAAACCTAAGTAAAATCATAAATCTGGATAAAAACAAAATCGAAAAGTTTATGTAAAATGTTAGAACACTTCAAGAATAATCGTTTCGAAACCTATTAATTATAAATATAAGGTTTCAAAACCTATTTTAAATCCAATCAATCTATCACACTTAAGCAATATCAAGAAAACTAAGTAAAAATTTAAGTAAAATCAAAAAATCTATGTAAAAACTAAGTAAAATCAGTAAAAATTTTAAAACCTTGATTAATTATAAATCTAAGGTTTCGAAACCTATTTTAAATCCAATCAATCTATCACACTTAAGCAATATCAAGAAAACTACGTAAAAATCTAAAGATCTGTGTAAAAATTAAGTAAAATCAGTAAAAATTCTACAACCTTGATTAATTATAAATATAAGGTTTTTCTTTGAAACCAGTTCGATTCTATTTCTTCTTTTAGGTTAGATGGAATGCTTGCTATGCGGTGGGAAACGGGCTAAAAAATTCGGCTTTATACCAGCAATCAGCGCTTCTCAGTAAGAACTGGCAAGTAAGTCAGTAACATTTTGGTATAGATAGTTTTACAGTAGGCGCCTTAAAAAAAAACCTTATTTTGTATATTCTGTAGATTTTCCGATTTTTTTCTCAAATCCGTCTACTTTAAGAGATATTTTGAAAAAAACTACGATTTTATGAAAAAATAAACTTCAATCGGCTTGCGACACGTGTTCTTGTTAAAAAAAAATCCCCATTATTTTGTCATCAAAAGGAAGGTTTTTTAAGGCGTCGGAAAAAATTAATTTTTAACGACCACTCTAGTTTACATATATCTTTTTTTGTAGGGTTCGGTGTTTAAAGCTTTGACAGAACTCGTGGTGGGCTTCAAGAATTTCAAAGTAAGAATAAATGCCGCATTGGCGCTGTCGGCTCCTGTCGCTAGAGAACATTTCGGGAATTATTACTATTCCACTTGGACGGCGCTATTGGAAGCGTTGGAAAATTCGCAAAATATAGAAGATTCGAGCGAATATACCCATAGAGATCATCTTGTCGAACAGGTACCTATTTTTGTAAAAAACCTATGTAAAATTTCTAAAATTAAGTAAGGACTGTTTTGAGATATTTCGTCATTTATTAATAAAACGGAAAAGCGCTCTTTATTTTGGACCATAATTTTAATTTATTGTAAACATTTTAACTTTCTTAAAAAAATTGTAAAAGTGCTATAAACTTTAAGGAATATATATCAAATTTGCAACTTTTTTGAAAGTCCAGAACATGATTGTTTTTTTTTTGTAAAATAGTGTTTTTGTTTATATCATAGACAAAAAAATTGCAAAAGTGCTGCAAATTGATGACATAACTCATACAAGTTCTTTAATTGCATATATTTCGGCCGAACAAATTTCTTTTCAATCTGTTCGGCCGAAATATATTCAATTAAAGAAGCGGTTGTATTTATTATAACAGAATATTAGCGAGTCTAAAAGTGCTCTCCCCAAAAAATTTCCAGTAAATGCATATCAACTAAGACTACTAAGAGGGACTATTTAACATTAAAAACAAAAAATAGAATATTTAACGCAAATAGTTTGGGGATAGATATTTGTCTAGTACGGATTCCTAGTCAGTGCGGAATAACTGGAAATGAGGAAGTAACTGAACTGGCCAAAAAAGGCCGACTGCAAGTATTAAGCATTAATGCCAGGGTGCATCATAGTGAAGTCTTGCTTTTTTTTAAATCCAATATATGGAAATAATGGGAGGAGAAATATAAAGTGATATGCCAAGTTAAAGGGAGACTATATGGAGATGTGATTCAAATTCCATTAAAAGAGACCGTGGTTTGGAAAAATAAAAAATTTGAATAGAAGGGATATTAGTATCATTTGCAGATTAAGAAGCGGTCATTGAGTATGGTGCATCTCAAGAAAATAGGTATAAAAGAAAATGATAGGTGTACGTGTGGATTTACAGCATATTTTTTTTAATTGTCAAAATAATTTTTATAATATTTATACATTTTTAGAGAATTTAGATATCCCAAAAATTTTTATAGTTCCTGTTACACTTTTTGATATATTTTTTAAGTTTCTGTCTTTCGGTAATGTTAAAAAAATATCAAAATTTATACAAATGTTTAAAATTAAGCTGTAAAATATTGTAATTATTTCCTGTTTTTACCAAATGGCTGTATCATCTTAGCTATGTAGGCCAATAAATTAAGAAAAAGTTTACAATGATTAATAAGTCAACAAGAAATATCTCAAAACGGTCTTTTTCTACTTATATAAAATATTAACGAAATTACTTTTTCTTTTAGATATGCTTGTCGCTAGGTCATCTAACTACGTTACTCCAAAAAGACGACCTCTTGCGCCTGCAGGACACGATCGATCTCTATTTCGAAATATTTCTCCGCCACACTCAAAAAGTCCTCGAACGTTTGGTCCCAGAAAAATCCGCCAGCCTTACGGCGGCTTCGTTCGCTCTCAATCAACTTTCCAAACACGACGAACTCGTAGACGCCGAAATTAAAATGTTGAACCGATTACAAACGGTTTTCGTCGTCGTAGTTTAATTTTATATTTTTTTTGTTTGTAATTTATCTGAATGTAGAAACGCCGTCTTAAAAGTTGTATTCTGTCATTTTTTAAACGGGCAAGATGTTCGTTAATCCTGGATCTTATTGTTCGGTATGTCGTATGTAATTATTCAAATTTGTGATATAGGAAGTAAAATGTCCGTTAATCCTGAATGTTATTTGACGATCGGTTTGTCCTATGTAAATGTGGAAACTTTGATATAGGATAAACGGGTGGCTGGTAAAATTGGGAGTCAAGAGTCGAGGAGCATTTAGGTGTCTAAAAGTGGGATAGATTGTAGAGATAAAGAAGGATGGCTATTAAAACGGTGTTTCTGAAAGATCTGTAAATGTATTTATTTGTATTTGTATATATAACGAAAATAAAAATATTTTATATTAAGGTGGCAGTTTAAATGTATTTAAACTTTTGAGTCGTTACATATCTAAGGCACGAACCTCCTTTTGTAAGATCAAAGCGCTAAATGTTAGAAACACATAAACAGCGAAGCCAGTTTTTATTCAAATTTCGATATACCTTTATTTTTTTTTTTTGTTGAAATCACTGATCTGCATTATTTTACTGCATATGATATAGTCCGAAAAATTGGCCATTTGGGCAAATAATATGGCGAACCGGATGTTATTTAACATAACCTCTATTTCCATTTGTCATTTAATTGTGTCAACAAATTACGATGAAGACGTGTTTTTATTCTGGAAAACGAAGTGAAAAGAGTATCCGTTCACTTCATAGGTAAATAAAACTATTATTATATTTATAATAATTTGTTAATAGATCTATTTTGTCGAAACAAACTGAAACAATTGTTAATTTACACAATATTAAACAAGAATACAAATAATATTTTTCGATTAAATGAGAAAATTGAAGTGAATTATAACGATTATTACTAAATTAAATAATGTTCTTGTTATTTAAGGTTTCTACAGAATTGGAGCTTTTGGCGAAATGGCTGAAGAGTATGAATATGAACAATTTTAATGTAAGTGCAGAAATATTCCCCCAAAATCGATAAGGAATATTTCGAGGGAATGTTTCCCCAAAACCGATGGGAAATATTTCCAGGGCATATTCCCACTACTCTGGTCTTGAAAGATTGTTTAACCAAACCAATTACATAGGTGAAAAAAGTTTTGATCGAAAACACTATTTGTTCCGTAAAAACTCAACCCCTGAAAAATAGGAAGTATCGGCAAAAACGCTTTCTAAGCAAATCGATCAACCGGTCGATATGAGAGAGACGGGTAAAGAAATGATGATGTCATTAATGGCGCACCATGCATCATAGACACTTGTTGTTTTGTTCTCACTAAACTATATTATACCTAAATTTGTAAAAGTCAGATAATTGAAATAATACCACAATAAAGTGCATTTGTAAAGTAGTGAGTGTATTATTAACTGAGCTGATCAGCGAAAAAAAAAATCTGATGTGTCCAACACATGACTTTCCTATCTAGTTATTATAGGCTTTTTTCGGTTATTTTGTACAACCTATTGCAGCATCTCTATAAATGTTTAGAGGATAAACTAAATATATACATTGGCCACATACATCTACCTCGAAACATTTTTCTATAGATATTCATTGAAAACGAAAATACTGAAAAATTTAAATTTAGACTTTTCCATTACGGTCCATTTTAGAAAAATCATGTATAAACAAAAATTATAGAGATCGATATCGCAAACAACTTTTATTTCAAAAACTTTCATAAAAATCAGAATTTTGCACATTTTGTCAAATTTCTCGAATACGGACCATTTCAGGAAATTTTTACATAAAACAAAAATTGTAGATAATAATATTAGAAGTAACTTTTATTTGAACAATTTTTTTCTCCAAACATTAATAACAGATATATTCCATAAAATATAAAAGTGGCCTCCCATAAAGTACTCCCCCAGATGTTCCGACTATGTCCAAAATCTAATCATTTCACGTCAGGCCGAAATAAACCTTAAGTTTAAAATTTAATGTTTTTTTCTTTATCCGTTTTTTAGTTTTCTTCAAAATTCGAAATTTACACATTTTCTCAAATATCTCGAATACGGTCCATTTTAGAGAAATTATGTATAGAATAAAAATTATAGATAATTATATTAGAAGTAACTTTTATTTGAAGAATTTTCTTCTCCAAACGTAAATAACAGATATATTCCATAAAATATAAAAATGACCACCTATAAAGTACCCCCCCAGATGTTCCGATTCTGCCCAAAATCTAATCAGTTCATTGGACGCTGAAACAAAGCTTAAGTTTAAAATTTGGTGTTTTTTTGTGTATCGGTTCATGAGTTATGCGTTATACAGACACACACACAGACAGACATCATCGCGAAAATAGTCAAAACGGATTCAGGGGACCTCAAAACGTAAAAATCCGTCGAAAACTCGAGGTCGAAAAAAATCATGATTCCTATACTTTCCTTATATCTGTATACAGATAGGAAAGTAAAAAACGTACAAATCCAGTCTCCATTCAGGAACGAAAAAAGAGAGGTTTGCAAAAAGGCAGCAAGCCGACAATATTCATAAACACATGCATGTAATGGTTGGTATTTTTGTTGAGTAACAATTATACAGGGTGGCTCACGCTCAACGGGACGGAGCTTTATGGGAAAACGACCAAAGATATAAAAAATTCGTTTGGGAGGAATACGTAGGTTACAGACGGCTACAATTTAAAATTTGTTAGATGTATACAGGATGTCCCACATAAGAAAAAAAAATTAGTTCATTAAAAATTATTCAAACAAGAGTAAACAATTAATTTCTGGGAGACTTTTTTCCTTAAAAATTCAAATAAATCGAAAACTAATAATAATAGTAATAGGGAACCTTTAGTTAACTGACATTATTTTTGATGTAGTTTTTAATTCTAAAATAAAAAAACAGGGTGTTCCATTAAAAATAATATAACTTTGTATATTTTCTCTTATGTGGGACATCCTGTATACATCTAACAAATTTTAAATTGTAGCCGTCTGTAACCTACGTATTCCTCCCAAACGAATTTTTTATATCTTTGGTCGTTTTCCCATAAAGCTCCGTCCCGTTGAGCGTGAGCCACCCTGTATATCTATTACCGAGTTCACTGGAATATATTAGTTTAGTCGGGTTTGGGGCTGAGGACTTTTCTGCAGAGCGAGGTCAAAGATGAGTTTTTAGGCACTTCTGTATTAATCTTGTAGAACTTACAGGATTAGAAGGTAAATTAATGTCTAAATCTTATGATAATTTAATTTAAAATTATTATTTTATATCTTTTTGCATTAATAAAAATATTACAATAAGAATGTTTATTGTTGTATTTATTTCTAAATAAGTCTTGCATGTTTTAATTTTATCTATATAAAATACAAATTAAGTACGTATGACCAAATTTAAAAAGGTTTGTTAAATGCTGAAATTTTGTGGCAACATTTTTTTTAAATTGAACCTATATATAATTTTAACAGCAAAATAAAACACAGTTAACTGATTTTTTATTGTTGTAATACAAGTATAAAGGGAAATTTGGGATTGTATATGGTTTTACCTCATCCTTTAATTTCAGCCTTCCTCTTTTAATTTTGCTAACAGTAAAAATAGTCACATAATATTTAATAATATCTTCTAAAAAATATAGAACAGTATCAACTCTAGAAAGTGCTTTATCATCACTAGGAACAATATATACAGGGTTGGGATAAAGTATGGAACCAAGTAAATATCTTTAAAACGATATTTATGAAACTTTGCAGGCAAGTACAATGACGCATAACGCATCTGATGCCATATTTTTTGTTACTGCTGTACTTCCGGTTTCACCGGAAATACCCTCAACCTCTTTAATTTAAAAGGAACACCCTGTATATTTTTGCAAATTTTAAAAGATTTTGTTATTACGAATTCGTACATACTCTAACATGTTTTCGAGCGACCTTTAAATCCCAATATTAAGAATTAATTTCAATGTTTGCTTTTAAGTAGCAAGGTAATAGATCAGAATCCAATACAACAATGAAAGCATAATTTAATTAATTGAATTTTGACTAATTTTGAAAAATCCTGAGCGACCCCTAAAAAAATTTTTTTTTGAGCTGCCCCTTTGGAGGCGGTCTTATGATAAATCAACGAATTTTGCGCCAGCCTAGTAGGTATAATAGGTACTTATAGTAATATAAAATGACCCTATTTTCATTTAATCGACATAACATTAATGTTAGTGATTGGGCTATTGTCTACTATAAATAAGTGTATTTTTAAGGGTAATATACGCCGACACTCGAACGGCTGATGTAACTATTGAAATTTTACAGAAAGTTTCTAGACACTTTGAAACACTATACAAAACAATTTTGAGTCCGCCGACACAAAAAATTTTTTTTTTACCTTAAAATCCTTTAAAATTTGTTATCGGGTCTCCATCATAAAGCAAATGTGCAATACACCATTTTCACTGAAATCTTATTGTAGAAACGGCTAAATATCAATATTAGAAATTTTCTTATTTTTCGTTTTTGTTTAATAATACACAAAACACCTATTGTGAACAAATAGACAGTAAATTATTTTCAATGACAATTGACGTTTCTAGTTTCTATAAATACGGTGTTGCCAAACCCAGTAAGAAAACGTATACGACAGGAAATAATTCGGTCAATGAAAGTTGGCCATTTGGAAATGGCTCCAGGCCATACAGCGTAGCCGAAAAATTACAGAGCGTTTGGCCGGTAGGTGAACTTATGGCATGTCGGAACTTAGTACTGTTTGTAAAAATACTTTTTTTTAATTTGAGCTGTGTCCAGGTCGTTGGAGTATATGCCGGTCGACGTAGCCAGGTATGGATTAAAATTTTTCTACAAGACGTCGTTGCTTCGTCTTCTTATTGAAAATTTTCTTATTATTAGATGCACGCGACAGAGACATTCGTTAAAAGTTGGGATTGAGGTTCACTGGCCAGATGCTAGTGAGGGTTGACGGAATTTTGTTCGAAAAAGTCTAGTTCGAACACACAATTTTTTAATTTCTCATTTTATGTACAATTTTTTCGCAAAGCAACCCGCGATGACTCCAGGCCGCACAGGTTAGGTAAATTAGTTAAAATTTGTTTATTTTTTGTATATTTTTTTAATACATTTTACATTTAGATTTAACAAAAAAATCACTTTTTTTCAATTTTTTCGAACAAATATTGTTACGAAAAAATTTGAAATGGTTTATTTGTTTATGGATGGTCTAATATTATTATTTAGCAGTTTCTATAACAAGAAATTAATCAAAATGATGTTTTTTCAACATCAAAATTAGAGGACACATTTTAAAGTTTTAAGGTAAGAAAAAAATATTTTAAAGCGTTTGAAGGGCAAAAAACGTATTTGAAATGTGTTTCAAAGGGTCTTAAAAAAAATATAGCGCGTTTGACCGTTGGCGGATTTTTCCTGACATTAGACAATGTCTCTCGGAAACTTGTAAATGTATATACCACAAAATAACCAGTTTCTATAATTAGGTATATTTATATCAAGAAATAAATAAAACCCTAGCACAGTTGTTACGCCCATGGATATCTACATTATTTACATTTCATGAAAATTATTTTGACATAACCTACCTGTGGTTTTGGTCAAAAATTTTCGGAAAACTATGCATCTCTTTACTATTTTGAAATGTCTAATCACGTTTGTAAACAATTTCTTTTATATAAATAAATAAAACAAGAATATTCCACTAAAATAAAATACCGAACACTTTTAAAATTATACACAAACAGGGTTGCCAAATGTTCAGTTAAAATATAGTATTTAATGGTTAAACCGATGTATCGTAGTGAACAAAATCTAAAACCATCTGATTTAAACACCGATTCAATGCAGAAGAAAATTTTATGAATATTTTCCAGATTCCTGAATAAACTGTTGAATATTAAGTACCTTGAACCTTGAAACATTGGGAACTAATGATTATTATCCTTATACGTTTAACCAAAAGAAAATGTGGCAACCTCTGCTGGTACCACCGTTTGTTGTGCATGCAATGTGGACCTTATTATCATACGACAATTGTTTATGTAAACAAGACGTATATATTCCAATACATGATTTGACGTCTGGACAGGGTTTGCAACTTCCCGATCGCAAATTGTAGAAGAAAATAAAAGGAACCAAATACTCCATATAGCCTAGCATTTTATTTTCATTATAACCCGACCCCGAGCTTAGTAAACTCTTCTTTTTTTATTAGTTATAATAAGTAAATTTTATAACTAGTGTAAATTAAATTTAATATCAGTGATTGTCCTAACGATGCTTTTTCCAATGGTAATATTTAAAATAAATTCCCAACTTTAAGTAGATAGTAAAAGACTAGATCTGGGGAAATTTGTAGAGTAAATCTGGCAACACTGCAATGCATAAATCAACGATAAGTATATCCGGTAATTATCCACAAAATTTAAAAAAAGGGTTTGCAACTCTGATTATGTCTATTTACAGGAATTAAAGTTGCCACTTTATATTGGTTTCAAAAGAAGAGATTCTGGGGGATTTTTAATTAATATTTTTTAAATTGGTATTGTTATTACAATGGGAATTAAAATTTGAAAATCATATAGTTTTTTTTATTTATTACCAATTATAAATAAAACATGAATATTGATTTCATTATATATTGGCTAAACGTTTCCAAAAGCACAACAAATATTTTTTTATTTAAATTATATAAAAACACATGAAAATAAATATTAACAAGTATTCTGACAATAGTTTTTAATATATTAACTAGTACATTTTTAAAAAATAAATAATACTTTCATTTTTTTGGTTTGATATACCTCTCTGTATATAAATAAAATACTATCACCCGGTTGCTAAAGTACCTATTAAAATTTACGAGTCTGATAAATTTTGACAGAACTTGAAAATGTGATCTGTTTGAAAGACATTAATTTCAAATTATTCATCTAAAAACAAAGGCGGCTCCAAGACGAATTTTCGGGAGGGGGGGACATTGACTAGCCATTCCCTTCTTAACATATTTTTTTGAATAAAAGGCCCATAAATCGTAATAATTTTCACTCCTGGAGCCGCCCCTGTCTAAAATCATCTTTCAAAGTTTATCAGGCTGATACATTCTTGCAACCAGTTGTATCACTTTTCTATTAATCACATTAGTAACGCCGTCACCGCCACACGTTCCAAGGTTGCCAGAAATTTTATAACCTCTTGCTTATTCGTCATTTGTTGAAACGGAAAACTCCTTTTCTCATGCTTCTATTTTCCGGCGCCTGAAAATCCACAAAAAAACAGCTCCATCACATCTACCAACTCATACAGTCTAAAAATCAGTCGAAATTATTGATGTTAATAGTGATCGCCTGCTATCTAAATCTAACCCAAAGTGAGACAGCTATCAAAAGCTATTTGCTGGAAGAGATATGTATGTGTCAAAATTGACGTGTTGTAAGTAACAAGTGTCAAAATCTACATACTAGAAATGACATGTGTCAAAATTAATTATTGTGTTGTGACAGGAGTCAAAATCTACATACCAGCAGTGTTAAAATTGGAGTGTTGCAAGTGACAAGGTCAAAATCTAAATATTTGAAGTGACGTGTGTCAAAATTGACGTGTTGTAAGTGAAAGGTGTCAAAAAGTATAAATAAGAAATGGCAGATATTCAAATAAAGGTACTTTTCTCAATGTTTACTTACGTGTCGGGTACCAAACAACATTCTAGCTTTATCTTCTTCTTGAGGAACCGAACTTTCATCTGCAGATCCTGTATTTCTTTTAAGTTGTAACTTTTGCTTAATAGCCTGTTAAAAATAAAGTAAATTTTGCGAAAAATTGTAAAATATTGCTTTTTTGAAGAAAAATATCAAATTTTGATAAAACTTATTGGTTAATCAACAATTGGAAAATGAATAAAAAAAATTTACTATAAATTTATGTAAATTAAAGAAATGTATGTAAAAATTGGGTATATTGATGTCTGGGTTTTGTAAATATATGTAAAATTGAAGAAAATACTAACTTATCTAATAAAATATTATATACCTGTGACAGAATGACGCGCTTGCTGTCATTTCTAATCGCCATCAGCATATCTAACCACGTCCACGTCATATTATGATACTCTAAAGTCGGAATAATCAAGGAATAATCTCTGAGATCTTCCAAATTTTTTTCCTTCGTTCCTTTGTAGCTCAACTTCACCGGCACCTCCGGAATTTTAATATAAACGAACAGTTTGTTCTTTTCGGCCCTTTCCTACAAAAAAAAAATCGAATTGAACTATTATTTTCTTTTACGTTAAGTTAATTAGTAGAATTACTTTCATCTTCTCAACATCGTCGATGTGAACGTAAAAATTTGAATCGCGATTTCTTCTGCCTCTGGTTTTCTTTCCCTTCTGTTCCAATTCACCGTCTTCGCTAGCTCTATCGTTGAAATCGTTATTTTCCGTTTCTCTCTCGGGAAAACAGAATTTCATCATCGTGATGTAAAATTTCTTCGTCAGGCCTAAAAGTTTAACGTTCGAAGCGTCAATATAGACGAACGTCAAATGGTTGTTAAAATGTCAATCTGCGCTGACAACTGACTTTTAAACAAAGTGAAATATCTGCTAAAATGACAGTCGAATTTGAAAACTGACATTTAAACAAAATTCAACGTCAAATGTCGGCTAAAATGTCTTTGACAACTGATATTTAAACAAAGTCAAACGTTTACTAAAATGTCACTTAGCTTGATAACTGACATTTAAATGAAATCAAACGTCAAATAGTTTTTAAGACATTGAAACTAAATCTAACTTTAATTTAATGATAGTTTTATTAATTTGAATAATACATTGATTTTATTAATTTTAGGTTGATTTAATTGGTTTAATCAATTCAATTGATTTATTCAAATTCATTTAATTTATTTATTTCAATTAATTTGGTTTAGTTTGATTTACATATTTTAATTTATTTGATTAAATTTTAATTTATTTACAGCAATTGATTTAATTAATTTAACTTAATTATAATAATTGGTATCTGGACTCATATGTCTTGCTAGACCTCAGTCCTTATTGTATTTATAAATAAAAAAAAATATTGATAAAATGTTGCTAGGCTTTGACATTTAAACAAAATCAAACGGGAAATGGTTGATAAAATGTTATTTTCTTTGACAACTGACATTTAAACAATATCAAATGTCACTTGGTTTTGACAACTGACATTTAAACAAAATTAAACGTCAAATGGCTGCTAAAATGTCACTTGGTTTTAAAAATTTGTCGTTTCAACGATCTTACCTATGGTTAAAGGAACTAAATTTATTTCGAATATCTCTTTGACTGAAATTCCACCAACAGGAGGTTTTTCTCTGCAAAATATCCTTAGTACTTTCTGAAAAATGATAGATAAACAAAAATAATTATAAAGAACGTACGGTTTATTGAAATTATACCAACCTTGTGTTCTATGGGCATGTCGAATTGTATTTCCGTGGGACAAAGGACTTCTTTGTAAATTTCGTTGGGTAACAGATTCGTCATTCTTAAATAAGCGAGTTCCATTAAATGTTCAACAGAATCGTCACTTTTAGAATTCTTTGTATACCTAAAATGTCAAAAATGAGTCAAATATAAATTGTCTATTTTGTTTTTGATATAAGATCTTAGATAATAATAATTCTCTTTTATAAGTGAAGTTTAACCCTAGAAGCAGAGCCTTTGGATTCTGATGAAAAACAACTTGACACGCTATTGAAAAATCAAACTCAAATATTTGTATATATTGGCTACAAACAAATCTTATGCTAAGCAGCGTTCGTTGACTATCTATATTTATAGGCATATCTATCAAAATTGTCAATTGTCAGTTCTTAGTAGTGACTTTACTGACAACTGTCATATATGTCAGTTGTCGATAAAACTCAGATAACAATAATATTTTCTTTTATGAATGAAGTTTAACCCCAGAAGCAGAGCTTTTGGATTCTGATAAAAACAACTTGATATACTATTGAAAAACCATACTCAAACATTTGTATATATTGGCTAAAAACCAATCTTATGCTAAACAGCGTTCGTTGACTGTCTATATTTATCTGTCAAAATTGTCAATTGTCAGTTCTTAATAGTGACTTTACTGTCAACTGTCATATCTGTCAGTTTTCGATAAATCTCAGATAATAATAATACTCTTTTATAAGTGAAGTTTAACCCCAGAAACAGAGCCTTTGGATTCTGATAAAAACAACTTGATATACTATTGAAAAACCAAACTCAAACATTTGTATATATTGGTTAAAAACCAATCTTATGCTAAACAGCGTTCGTTGACTGTCTATATTTATCTGTCAAAATTGTCAATTGTCAGTTCTTAATAGTGACTTTACCATCAACTGTCATATCTGTCAGTTTTCGATAAATCTCAGATAATAATAATAATACTCCTTTATGAGTGAAGTTTAACCCCAGAAACAGAGCCTTTGGATTCTGATAAAAACAACTTGGTATGCTATTGAAAAACCAAAATTAAATATTTGTATATGTTGGCTAAAAACCAATCTTATGCCAAGCAGCATTCGTTGATTATCTATATTTATAGCCATATCTGTCAAAATTGTCAACTGTCAGTTCTTAGGGAATGGTCCATTATTAACCGAAATATCGGTTACTCGGTCCAAAACTAACCGCTCTGCTTGACATTCCTGAAAAATCGGTTAAATTAGGGTCGCGGTTACCTGAAAATGGTGACTTAAACGTCAATTCATTAACCTCTATATTTTTACTATTAAGTCGAATGTCAAGCTGTCACAAAAGTGACATAAATCTCGACCATGATTCAAATGTAACAAATAAATTATAGTTTTTTTCAGGAACCGCTGTCAAAAGATCCTTGTTACTTGCGGTTAATAGTCGGTTAATAACGGACCATACCCTTAATAGTGACTTTACTGCCAACTGTCATATCTGTCAGTTGTCGATAAGAAAACGCTTTATTTCTACTTACAAAAAGCTGCTGAGCACCAAATCTGCTATACCAATCTGCCCGTCGGCTTCCGTTAACCGCCATTGCGCGTGCTTGAAACAAATCTCGTTAGCCCTGACGACCGTCAACGGTTTGTCGCTTCGCGTCGTCGCTAAACGAGCGTTAGCCAGTAACTGCGTTTCCTTAAAACACGACAACATCATATCTAGCTCTTCGCTTTGTGCTGTCAATTGATTCTTGCATTCGTACATCTAAAAAAACGAGAAAATTTCAATATGTACCCGTCAACTGTCAGAGTTACTTATAGTGGATTTTATTTGTTGCACTAGGTGTAAGTTTTTTGCATTAATCGCATTGATTAGCTTCAAATATTTGACACATACTTGAGTATAACATATACTTTTGACAAGTATGACAGTTCGAATACAGTGTTGAGTGTGACACCAGTGCAACAAATAAAATCGATCATTACCGATCTCTCGAGCCTGTCGGATTCCTGCCTCAATTCGATATCGTCCGGGGTTTCTTCTAACGCCTTGTTAACCAAGTACGTCTCTTTTTCCAACCTCCTCAATTTACTTTGAGTACTTCTGACTAAAGTTTGTTGATTCTGTATGGGCTTTCTTTGATCTTCGACGCTGTGCAACTGCAATTTAAACCTCATACGTGCCAATTTTTCCAAAGCTTCCTTCCTATGAGGTTCCACATAGAGCAGAAGATTGTTCACCACGTCCAATAACATCGCGTACTAAAATATTAACGAAAATGAGACCTAAACTAATAGTAGCCATTTGGGTAAATTATCCTGTAGGATATAGCCCAAATAAAGGAAAAAGAAGAAAAATACTAGCCATTTTGAATACGTTTTAAGTTTTAAATACCTGCAATGAATTCGTGCAAACATCAAGGTCGTAGTGCATAAGAGTGAAAGCGTCCACAGCAGACTGCCTGCTTTCCCACGGTCCCACCTCTTCTTGTGGCGGCGGTGGAATTTCTCCAATTCCTTCGGGATCGACGCTGATATCACCGTAATCGGCGTAGAAAAATTCACATTTGCAACGAGAAACGATCCTTTGTAACTTAAATTAAATAAATAACGTATAAGCAAGTTAAAATATGTGCGCATTAATGTTTAATACCTGTCTCGAAGCACTAGGTCCTACGGTATCGCTAACTACAGCCCCCACTGAAACGCCACTGCCTACCAAATTCGGAACCTCGCACGGTTCCGAAATCTCGGCAGATTCCTTTTCTTGAATGTTATCAACCGTCAGCCACATAATATTCTCTGTAAAACAAAATGTTCGCTTCTTAAAAATCCTATCAGACTGCGCCAATTTATTATTTCACCTACCGTCGGCCGTGTCGTTTTCGCCCGCGTTCACGGTGGCGTAGTACTGCATACATTCTAACGTTCCTACCCAAGTAGTTTTGGACACCAACGTTCGATCTTTCCAAGCTGGTCTGTGTATCCTTTGAACGATCTCGGCTTTAGCTGCGCTCATTATCACATAACCTTTGGTTTCGCAACCTTTTAGTAACACCTGCCCGTTGACCAAAGTGACTAAAAACAATATACAATAATGAACAATTATTAATCGTTCATTCATTAAATCTTACTCTGCCAATTTTTGTGGAGGATATCGTCTTGTTGGCAGGCTTGCAGTCCTTGCAAGTGTTGCTGTCTGGACGTCGCGGATAAATCGTCGCTGTAAACTACGGAATTATTATCAGCTTCAGCTATAAGTTGCTGTAACATATTAGCCGCATGACCCGATTGTAATTTGCTGATCGGCGACGGTGTATCCTGGACAGCCGTAGCTGACTGAATGGTCTGTAAAAATATAACGTTGAAACAAAAACGAATTTGAAACTGATTTAAGTGCTTACTTGAATAGAATTATTGGGAGGGGTATTGGACGCGTCTGTGTTCCTTCTCTTCAAAGGAGTTGTGCTGTTATCCTTTCTGAAACCTTTTAAGGCGTCGGTAGACAGATTTTTTTTCATCCTCTGTAAAATAATTTAAAAAAAATATTATGAAAATGTTTTCATGTTTTAGATTAGTGTCGCGCAAAAGCCAACCCTGTGCTTTGTTTACTACTTGCCCGCGGTATGAAGTCTATCGGCGCTGGCAATATGGAGACAAACGCACCGGTTCGAGAAACTACCGGATTGATCCCTTAGCGGCGTAGAAAGGCAGTTTTCGATCATTCTGGAAAGCTTATAGAGTTCTACTACAGAGTTGGCTTTATATAAATAGCGCGAGTTGTCGACGGACGGGCAGATTCAAATAAAGTGTTGGGCAGAAAAGATAAATTGTAATAAATTAATTAGTATGTCATCAATAAATAGTAAATAGTGTGTTTTAAATAAATAAATTAAACAAACGTTACATTATTTTACTTTTATTGACAGTTACCACTTTAAAAAATTTTTTCAGAGAAAATTAAATTTTTGTGTTATTCAAAAGACCTTTTCCACTTGTTTTTCGTTCAACCTTTTTTGCCCTTTGACAAAATATATTATGTGATAGAATTAAGTAAAAATAGGAATATGTTAATTTTTGAGATTCAAATAGTATTGGGAGCATGATTATGAATTAAGCATTATTTTTTGTTTTGTATGCATTTTAATCCTTTCCTTAGCGATTTTCAACTATTTTAAAGGACTCTTATTGAATTAGACGTTAAATACGTGGTCCTCACGTTCCACCAATTTATTTGAGATGTCACAAGCTAGTTTACCATTTACATTTCTCATTAAAATCGAAGGTCGTAGAAAAAATATGGTATATACCATTTTATGCCTACAGCATCATGATCCCAAATTAATCATTCTTTTTCGGTTTATATCCATTTTAAGCGTTTTCCTAGCCATTTATAGCAGTTTCAAAAAACTATTGTCAAATCTAGTATTAAATAAGCGATCATCATGTTTTACCGTTTCATTTTACATATCACAAGCCCATGTCCCCGTTATATTTCTTATTAAAATCATAGGTCGTAGAAAAAATATGGCATTTAAGATTTGTGTGCCTTTGGATACCCTACAGCATCATTATGCCGAATAAAGCATTCTTTTTAGGTTTATATGCATTTTAAGTCTTTTCCTAGTGATTTCTCACTGCTTCAAAGAACTATTGTGGAATTTGGCATTAAATACGTGATCCTCACGTTTTATCGTTTCATTTGACATATCACAAGCCCGTGTCCCCGTTACGTTTCTCATTAAAAACGTTGGTCGTAGAAAAAAGATGGTATATACCATTTTTATGCCTTTGGTTATCCTACAGTGTTATCATCATCCCAAATTAACCATCATTTTTAGGTTTATATCCATTTTTAGCGTTTTCCTAGCGATTTATCGCAGTTTTAAAGAACTATTATCAAATCTACTCTTAAATACGTGATCCTTACGTTTTACCGTTTCATTTGACATATCACAAGCCTATGTCACCGTTAAGTTTCTCATTAAAATCATAGGTCGTAGAAAAAATATGTTGTTTAAGATTTGTGTGCCTTTGGATACCCTACAGCATCACTATGCCGAATAAAGCATTCTTTTTAGGTTTATATGCATTTTAAGTCTTTTCCTAGTGATTTATCACTGCTTCAAAGAACTGTTGTGGAATTTGGCATTAAATACGTGATCCTCACGTTTTATCGTTTCATTTGACATATCACAAGCCCGTGTCCCCGTTACGTTTCTCATTAAAAACGTTGGTCGTAGAAAAAAGATGGTATATACCATTTTTATGCCTTTGGTTATCCTACAGTGTTATCATCATCATCATCCCAAATTAACCATCATTTTTAGGTTTATATCCATTTTTAGCGTTTTCCTAGCGATTTATCGCAGTTTTAAATAACTATTATTAAATCTACCATTAAATACGTGATCCTTACGTTTTGCCGTTTCATTTGACATATCACAAGCCTATGTCACCGTTAAGTTTCTCATTAAAATCATAGGTCGTAGAAAAAATATGGTATTTAAGATTTTTGTCTTTGGATATTTTACGGCATTATCATGTCGAATTAAGCATTCTTTTTAGATTTATATGCATTTTAAATCTTTTCCTATCGATTTATCACTGCTCCAAAGAACTATTATCGAATTTGGCATTAAATACGTGATCCTCACGTTTTATCGTTTCATTTGACATATCACAAGCCCGTGTCCCCGTTACGTTTCTCATTAAAAACGTAGGTCGTAGAAAAAAGATGGCATATATTTTCGTAGTTTTGAGTATTTTATGGTATCATGATTCCGAAATAAGTATTCTCTTTGAGTTTATATGCATTTTAGGCGTTTTAATAGCGATTTCTCGCTGTTTCAAAAAACTATTACCAAATCTAGCATTAAACAAACGATCCTCATGTTTTACCGTTTCATTTGACATATCACAACCCCGTGTCCTCGTTATATTTCTGATTAAAATCGTAGGTCGTAGAAAAAATATGGTATATAATATTTTTGTGCATTTGGGTATCCTATGGTATCATGATCCCGAACTAAGTATTCTCTTTGGGTTTATATGTATTTTAGGCATTTTCCTGGCGATTTCTCGCAGTTTCAAAAAACTATTACCGAATCTAGCATTAAATAAGCGATCCTCATGTTTTACAGTTTCATTTGACATATCACAAGCCCGTGTCCACGTTAAGACTCTCAATAAAATTATAGGTCGTAGAAAAAATATTGTATTTAAAATTTTTGTGTCTTTGGATATCCTACGGCATCATCATGCCGAATTAAGCATTCTTTTTAGATTTACATGTATTTTAAATCTTTTCCTACCGATTTATCACTGCTCCAAAGAACTATTATCGAATTTGGCATTAAATACGTGATCCTCACGTTCTATTGTTTCATTTGACTTATCAGATGCCCGTGTCTCTGTTACGTTTCCATTAAAATCGTAGGTCGTAGAAAAAAGATGGTATATACCATTTGTATGCCTTTGGTTATCCTATAGCATCATTATTCCAAATTGAGCATTATTTTAGGTTTATATACATTTTAAGTCTTTTCTTAACGATTTATCGCAATTCCATAAACTGTTATTGAATTTAGTATTAAACACATGATTCTTACGTTCTGCCGTTTCATTTGACGTATCACTCATCCTTCGAGGTCACTATCGATTTTACGATCTCACCAAATGAGGTTCATGATTAGCATACCATATTATGACATATTAGGTCTTTTCCTTTACATGGAAAGTGTAGCACTGAGCTACGCCACTTCTAAAAATATCGTTTCGTCCATACAATTTGTATAAATGGAACGATATTTTCAGAAGTGCTACACTTTCGATGCAAAAGAAGACCTTATATATACGAGCCCTTCCCACTGGCAGCTATTGTTTGACAGGTTGTTGGAATGCTTAATTATTGTCGTAAAAGGCCAGCTATATGTCACGTCACTTGTTATGTCACATTATCTCTTTTCACTCTTAGGGTATGGTCCGATCAAAGATATCGGATAATAGATACGCCTTGTATACATTACACTTGTCCGTAACTTTTTTTTGACGGTACGCTCTTCCTATGTTGTCAGATCTCTTTCATCAAATATCAACCATTAAATTTTTATTAAAAAAGTTACTACTCCCTTTAATACAATCTAATAAAAAAAAGGAAATAAAGAATTAAAAGCATCAATATGAGTTTTTTATTAATTGCAATCACTTAAGACTTTTATTTAGCTATTTTTACATGTGTATCATAGGGGAATATTAAACATTCTGGTATATATCCTTTAAGTTTGGCAATGTTAGACATTTTGCTGATATTGTCAAAGTGACAGATCAAGTTTTATTGTGATTTTTTGTGGTTTTTGTAGTTTTCAAGAATAATTTAAACCTTAAACTTCTTAATAAGGACTTTTACGATAGGGAGGAAATGTATAGCGTGTCGAAATACGCAGAATAAGAATTTTATTCGGTCATGTCATAAGTAAGATTATGTTAGCATAGACGTAGGCATATACAGGAAATAAGGCTTAATTTATTTAACAGTGTAAAAGCAATTAGCACTAGTATTGTTTATTTAAATAATACTGTTCTATATTTTCTGATCAGGTTTCCTAGAGAAATTATTCAACGTAGAATTTGGCTGCAAAATCTATGCTTGGTGGAGAAAGACATTATGAAAATGAAAGAAGCCTTAGTATGTTCTGACCATTTTTGTATGGCAGATATTTATGAAAATTTAAGTGGTAGACACATTTTAAAACATATTGCTAAACCTATCAAGTAAGTACAATATTTATTATGGGTATTTTTATAATATGTAAGCTCTAAAATTATACAAAAATCATCACATTTTACATAATTTTGGGAGATGTAGTTGAAGAGACGAAAAATGAAGAAGATGAAAAGACCAGTAAGGTAACTTAATAATTTATATTGAGAGAAGCACACAATTATATATAATTTTTTTCTAGTTTTTTAAAGAACAATGAAGATCCGTGTTCATCTATTACTCCTACAGGTCCTAGTGTATCTGGATCATCACTTCCTAAAAGGTAACATTGTAATTGTGTATGTTATATAAATTTATTAGATTATTTTTGATGTAAATAATTTATTTAAGAAAATTATCACTGCTTAAGTCAATGCTGAATTAAATATAAAGTATTTTAGATATTCAAATCTTTTGTGTACCTAAAAAGCATTTTATTTCAAAATCAGTAATTGTTAATTTTAATTATGTTTTTATAATTTTTTATCTATTTTTAAGTAACGGGTTCCATAAAATGCACTTATTCCTATTCTTTATGTCCATATACTAACAGTATATTGTCTTTAGACGATATTAATTTTATCATTGAAGACAATAGTTTATAGTAACTGCATTGAACAAAAGAAAAGAGATAGTAAAAAGATTCACAGGTTATTGTTCGGACAATGGCATAGTAATTAATCCCTAAAAAAAATTTCTACGATCACTATCCAAAGTAGGCTTTTGCACATTCAAATCTAATTAGAAAGTTGGCGTTTTTCGCCAACTGTCATAATTTGACATTATTGGCGGAAAACGTGCACCAAAGTAACTTTGGCACACGCTTGTCTGTTTTCATTTGAATGAAATAAATTAAATCCAATCGATATTTTAAAACAATATATAAGTTAATCGAAAATATTAAATTAACTTCCTAATATTTTAAATCATTTAACAGTATTTTCTGTAAATAATTAATCATAAATAATTACCGACACATAAGTACTAAAAACTTTTCTCTTTGACAGATTGTCGTGCTCCGCTAACGCGTCGCTTGGCAACTTTTTGTCTTAAGTGTGCTGCTTTCTGTTCTTAATACACAAATAGCTATTTTGTCTTTTATGCCAAAATATACTTTACAAAATATCAGTTATTACACTAAATAAATCTATTGAGCAGGTTCTTCATTAAGAGTTTGTAGTAGTAACCATTCGTAGTAAAATGACATTCGAAATATCACAAAAGAAGCTTCCTTCAGTTTTTTCTATTCGGACAAATTAGAAATAAAGTCTCTCTTGTGACAGATTAAGCTAATGTGTTTTAGCCTTGTCCATATATTATAAAATCATTACTGATTACTCTCCTAATGAGTTATTATACCATTATACAAATAATGCTAAAAATAGGTGACGTGACATGCAACCCAAATGGTATGTAATGGAAAGATCCTATTTGTATATTTATGTGTCTGAAATAAAATTGTTTTACTGTTTTTAATAAGTTTTTTATTTCATAAAAAAAGGTAGTGAAAAAAAGGATTTCTGATAATACCCATGTAAAAATAATAATAATTGGCCCTATATTTTTATTTGCTCTTCATGTATTTAAAAAAAAAAACATAATATATAATAAAATACTAACAAAAATGTTCTTTCACTACAGCTACCTACTATTTTAATCTATAAAAAATATATAAAATGACTTTTTGAATGCCCTGTATAAATTGAATATGTTTTTTTTAAATTAACCTTTGATTCCGAAGACCCATAGGTTATTTATTTGGTCATTAAATAATTTTTACTAAAAAATATTTCTAAAACCTCCCGAAACACTACGTCTATGTGCGACGTACGATTCCCCTTTCCCCGTCTGGCATAACATGCGGACAGAAGGTGTATTGGGTATACAGTGTGAAGGGCGAGTCTATCTTAGATAATATGATGTCTATGGGTCCGATATTAACCGAAATATCGAATAATCGGTCCAAAACTAACCATTCTGCTCAACATTCTCGAAAAAGCAGTTAAATTATAGGTCTATTCCCTTGCATCGAAAGTGTATCACTAAGTTACACAACTTCTGAAAATATCGTTCCATCCATACAATTTGTATAAATGGAACAATATTTTTAGAAGTGGCGTAGCTCTGCTACTCTTTCGATGCAAAGGAAAAGTTATAATGGTAACTCAAACGTCAATTCACTTACTTTAAAACTCGGCCGTCGGCGTGGTCCAAATGTAATCAATAATAGTTATTTTCAGGAACCGCTGTCAAATAATTTTGGTTAGTTACGGTTAGTACTCGGTTAATATCGGACCATATCCTTAGTAAAAGTGATAAACTTAGGACTGTCAAAATATACTTAAAATTTGGGCAACAGGACCACCTCTCTACTTACCATAGTTTTCATAAAAGTGTCGAACAAAGCGAAAGCGACGTTCCTGTTACTGTTCGTCCACGCCCCCTTCAAATCGTACACCACCAATCGATGCGTCGGAACGTCTTTGTTCCGTTCTTGACCGTGCACCACCGTCTCTCTGCCGTAGGACACTTTGGCCACCGATAGACAGTAACATTTTTCGACCGGTTGTCGAGGCGTCGGTAGTTCTATTTCCATTTCGTCGTGCAAAGCGCTTTTCAGCCATATTTCGAAATCGTTTAGTTCGGAATTCATGTATACCACCGACCATTCCGCTTTCGGGCGATGCTTCAGCCCATCGTCGATCGCTATCAGCGATAAGGTGTGCTCTAAGTAGAAAAATTGCTTTTAGAAACAATAAATAGGTACTATCATTGTATTTAGATCAACTAATAGAACAATGCCAATGCAAATTATCTTGCAAAGTTCTGTATAGTTCTAACAGATGTCGCAACAGAATTGCCTCCAATGAAATATCCATAAGGCTGATTTAATAGGATATCTAAATACAATGTTATTGTTGATTGTTGAAAAACTTACCAGCACTTGATGACAATCGACCACCATATAACTCACAACCCCTTTGCATGGCAAACGACATCCAATAACATACTTGGAATTTATGCAAACCCATCAATAAATGAATCTAAAAACAGAAACAAATTCAAAATTACTCAATTTTCGCAAATTGTCCCTATACCTTTTTGTAATGTCGACTGAGCTGCGTCTTCCTAGGTCTAAGATTATTGAATATTCGACCTCTTTTTGTGGGTCGAGTAACGCCCGACAATATCATCTTCAAGCTTTCGATCCACCTCAACGTGCTGCCGTACAGAAGCAAAATCGGGCAGCTGTTGGGCTCGTTCGGTACCGGACGCGTTTCTAAAACTATGCTGAGGTTGACGTTCTGGGATCGGAACGCCCTGAAAGAGTCGTGTACCTAAAAATACGTTCTATATAAAGCGTTTATGGGGTGGTTCGGTAAGCAGGACGAACAGTGAACTGTTTAAGTACCTTTATGAAGTCGAAACGGTAGTATAATAGTACATTATATACCTAGGGTGAGAAGTGAGCTATTATTTACCGAGCACTTTTATATCCTGAGGCGCGTAGCGCCGAGGGATATAATGTGCGAGGTAAATAATAGCTTTCTCAGCCGAGGTATATATAGAATTTTTTTTACTACTAACATTAATGTATTAGCAATTTTAATTTTGACATAAGTAATTTCCTAACAATTTGTTAAATATTTCGAAATATCAAGCAGACTGGAGCGTGTTTCTAATCAGACTGGCTTTATTTATGTAAAAATTTGGCATGTGTCAAATTTTGGTATGATTCTAGGAAATATCCCATTGCATTTTTGATATTTTAATGACATGGATTTATTGTTATTAATTAATAATTTTTAAAGCCGGTGTTGAATTTCCTAGTTAATATATATTTTTACTATTAACACTGATATATATTATCATATTTGATTTGATTAGATTTTAATAAACCCAGCTTTAGTTATTTCCTACTTATTTTTCAAATATTTCAAAATATCAAGTAGTCTGGGAGTTTAGTTGTCAAATTAACAAAATGAAACTAATGAAATTTAGTTTCATTATTTACCTAGGTTTTTTTTATTATCATTATTTACCTAGCGAGAGAAATATTACTTCTCATTAGAGGAATGGAGTAAATAATGGTGATTTCTCATGTTAGTAGTAAAAAAACGTATTTAAAACGCTTTAATATATATTTACGATATAAGTGCGGTATGAACATTATTAATATATGCATGTGAAAATCACATAAGTATATTAATAATGTGTTACCGGCACGAATATTGTATAATATTTTATCTACAACTGTCATGTAACAACAACTCCGAAAATTCGAAATTATATTGAATAAAATTATGTCGGCATATCGTTAAAATTAACTATTTGCGAATACAAGTAACTTGTCAATATTTTGTAACCATAGCAACGGAATTAATAATGTCAAAGTGGCGTTTAAAATCGTAAAAATTCTGACTTAATGTAATTTAAATAACCATTACAAGTACATATATTAACAATTATGTCTTCAAGTGAAGATGATCTTCCACAAGATATTGAAAATGCAGCAACCGGCGTAATAGAAAATTTAGTACCACAGAAATCACGTGAGAGATATCATTTAACTTATGAGAAATATGAGAAATGGTGTAAAGATAAGAAAATTTTAAATATTACAAATGAAAAAGCATTACTGGTATATTTCAACGAAATGAGTAAATTACAGAAGCCTACATCTCTTTGGTGTTACTACTCGATGTTGAGGACAGAATTGCTTATTTTTATATAATATATTTCTATAATATAAAATTTTACAGTCATAGATCCTGACTTACAAACAACAATAATTATACATTAAATTTAACTTACTAGAAAAGAAAATTTATTTTTTATAGGCAACATATATATCGTTCCTAGAGCCGATAAAACACTTTCTAGAAATGATGCTGTTCTATACTTTTTAGAAAATATTATCAAATAATGAACAGAACTTTCAATTTCGACTTTGACTTCACCGTAGAGCACTTTATTTTATCATCCTTGGCCTCTTCTGTATTTTTAACTACTGCTTTCTCTATTCCTTCTATTTTTTTTTAATGATTTCTTTTAGAAGAAATATCAAAAGATTTTTTATTTTACAAAGAAGGGATATCAGAAAAAAAATTTCATTTTTTAATAGAAAACATTTTTTTTTTCTAATGAAAACATAGAAAAACTGAAGAAATTATATCAGAAGACGCATCATCAGAAAATAGAAACGTTTCTGGATCCAAACCCTCACTTGCTATTACTTGTTTAAGTCGCTCTTTTAACTCTTAAAATCTTCTAGTTCCCGACGCCTTTTCATCATTTTTAAATATCACTCAATTTTTAGACATTTGTTACTGACTATTTATAGTATCTCACTTTTGATACCAATGTAATGTATATTTACTTAAATACAAAACTAATTTAGATTTCTTTCAACGATATTCTAATTTACATTGACAAAATTTATTTGAACATAAATATATCTCAACTAAAACTTAACTTCAATGGCAAAACATAGTCAGAGATTAGAACAGGAAAATTATGTTAGAACCAAGCTTGTAAATGTCAGATTGTGACTCACCTGATTGCTAGAATATTCGGGTACTTTATCTGGTGCGCATTGTACGACGCTGTGATGATCATTCGGATTGCCGAGGCAAACCCATTGTATGCCCAAAATTAATTTTAAATTAGGTAATTTTAATAGCTGGACATCGTCGTATTTAGAAGCCGTTCTGACGTAAACGTTCAAATCGCCTTTGTACACAAATTTTGCTAGAAAAATAAAGAAGATTTTTGTTCCATAGTGTGTACAGTTAGTAAATTCTTCTTACCATTAGTCCAATCCATTACCACTTTTTCCCAAGTCAATGCCATTTCTTCGGTGGTGTTATATGGATCTAAAGACCCGTGTAGCAAAACTGTCAGTTGCTGTACCACCATGGTAAGCCTGCCATGCAGTAACAGCCTCATTTTATCCCAGAATGACAGAGGAGGTGATGGATCTCTCGATGGGGCAGAAATTTGGTTGAAATCTACCAAAAAAACATTTCGGGGTTTACACTATTGACAACTGTCAAATGTCAATATTCTAACATAAATTCTTGTAAAATCGTTTTATAACAAAGATTTTTTTACTTACTCAGATTACACTGGGCGATTACAGGTTCCCAACATGGTCCAAAGGCGTAGCTGAATGACTCGATTTCGCAGTTAAAATCGTGGTAGTATTTTAAAGGCAACATGCCCCTTTCGATGACGTACGGTTCGAAAGGCTCCCCTAATTGTACCACCACTGTGCGAATAGCTGTAACCAAATTATATTATAAACATAAATAATAAATTACCTTTGACCAATATATTACGATTTTAAATATACATTTAAGAAAATAATAAATAATTAATGTAAATACAGGGTGTCCCGAAATTAGACGGTCATATTTTAACATCTTAATCTACATTCTAAAATAGGAGTAAAAGTTTATATAAACCTAGGTCAAAAACTTCATCTTGTTTAAAACTTAATAATTTTAATAATCTCTTTTGGACTGCTTCAATTCTATCAATATTTAACTGATAGAATGGGCTCCCCAGAACTGAGGCATATTCAAGTTTAGATCTGATAAATGAATATTAAAATAATTTTAGTGTCTTCGGTTCCTTAAAATCACGACTGTTACGAACGATAAATCCATACATTTTGTACGATGCTAATACTATTGATTCCATATGGTTGTTCATTGATAAAGTGGGATCAAATGTAATTTCAAGATCTTTGATGGTAACCGGTCTTTAAAAAATCGTGTTGTTAACGCTATAGTTAAAAGTTAAAGAGAGTTGATTCAAGGTATAAGACATTACAAATAATTTGGAGGGGTTAAAAAGAAGATTGCTATTGAGACACTCCTCAACACGTCGCAGGTTATCTGATAGCCTTTCACAGTCCTCAACGGTTTCGACAAGACAAAACGTATAGCGTATAGAAGAAAGTTTAAAAATATAACTTACCAAAAGTTCTAAGCAACTTCCAGAAGGGAATTACTTAAAATTAAACTTTGAAAATAAAAAAAAAATAACTTTATCAATAAAATCCTGTATACTTCGGTTACACAAGTTTCGGCTGTTCCAACAAATGGTAAATGCATATACATATACTCAATTCTATCAACATGAAAATTAACTAAGGTAATTACTCAAAATACCTTATTATAAACACGACGGCCCCACGTTGGGCGCCAAAAATGCCCCTGCGACATGACAACGACTTACTGATCAAATTCTTGGACCTGAGCTGGAACCTAACGTTTTCACCTATCTAGACCATGTAGTAATCGTTACTCAGACCTTTGAAGAACATTTAGTTATTTTAGAGGAAGTTTTTTAGGCGTATTAGGGAAGCCAATTTGACTGTCAGTTGGGATAAGTGTTATTTTTGTCGTCCGCAGTTAAAGTATTTAGGGTATGTTATAGAAGGGAATCCTGACAAGGTCAAGGCTATGTTAACGTTACCTACGCCGAAGTGTGTAAACTATGTGCGTGGTGTTATATGAACTTTCTCGTAATATCGCAGGTTTATTCCCGATTTTTCTACTTTGATTTCTTCAATTCCAATTCTGTTGCGTAAGGGTAAGAAATTTGTTTGGGCACCATCGTGTGAAGTGTATTTGGTAAAGGCCCCACGCTGGGCGTCGAAAATGTAACCTACCAAAAGTTCTAAACATCTTTCAGAGGGGAATTATTTAAAATTAAACTTTAAAAATAAAAAAATAACTTGCGTATCAAAAATAATGCTTATAACATTTTTAAATATGTTAAATAACAAAGGACCTATATTAGAACCTTGCGAAACACCGGAAGTTGTCAGATATTGAGTCGACTTGAAACCGTTAATCTGAACATACTGATTTCTGTCTGAAAAGTAAGACTTAAATAAATTTATCAGTAATTGGGAAAAACCACAGCATGAACGTTTATTTAACATACCATGATCAAGCCGATCGAACGCTTTGGAAAAGTCGGTGTATATTACAACCGTCTGGATCCTCTTGTCGATATTTTCTGCAATGTACTGTATTAGAAGATTCGTAAACGGCCTTTCGTAAGTCTATGTTGTTCTGTTGATATCATATTACTGACACTTCGTAGAAATGATTAATAATTGAAATTTGACGATATTGTGTAATGCGGCGGGTCCTTTTTGCCCACAAATCTCTGTTTTCTACCTGTGTAAGTAAAGAGGTGCGTTAATCTTACTGGTATTTTGCCCACAGTAGCATTCAGGTACCTAAACCCGCAAATTACATCCGCCCACAAATAGGTACCTACCTGATTATTAATAATTCTAATAGGTACTTACTTTGGGTGTTTACTGTTTATATTTCAGTCAGTTTTTATACGTTGATGATTGTAATTCGAGTGTTTATAAACAATAATTATTTCTATAATGTCAGCTACATTGATTAAAAGCACACGCGGGAAAGATGTACACCTTTTGGAGAATTTTACGTTTGCCAAAGATAGAGAAATGAAAAGTGGAGAAGTTTCTTGGAGATGCTCCCAAAGAAAAACAAATGCTTGTAATGTCACTGTATTTACAATTGGTCCTGAACTTTTAGTATCCAGAGGCAACCTAATTCATAGCCATGAAGCAAATGAACCGAAATTAAACAGGAAAATTATTTCTAATTCGTGTAAGCGAAAAGCAGTTGATGATATTTCGGAAAAACCTTCTAAAATTATCCGTAAAGTACTTGCTACTAATTTACCAGAGTCACTAACTACAATTGATGTGTCCTACATAAGAAAAACTATATACAACAGTCGTCGCAAAATACTACCAGGTCCATTACCTACAAATATACAAGAAGTGCATGATGCAGTTGACTTATATTCTAATACATTTAAAACCAGTAAAGGTGAACATTTTCTTTTAATAAATAGCAGAGAAAATAATATTATTGTATTTACATGTGAGACAAATATTCGTACTTTGTGTAAAATGAACGTCTTGTCATATACAAGACGTTCATCCATATGATGGAACATTTTCGTATTGTACAAAGTTTTTCCTACAATTATTTACCATTCATGGGCTGTGTAATGGACACTATGTGCCCCTGGTATATTGTTTATTACCAAACAAATCTACCGATATATACAAACATTTGTTTTCGTTATTGCATTATAAAATTTTGGAAACTTACAGTATTGCTTTAAATCCATCTAAAGTGTTCGTTGATTTTGAAATAGCAATTCATAAGGCGTTAATTTATATGTGGCCTAATACTGTAATCAATGGCTGCCGATTTCATCTACATCAAGCGTGGTATCGTAAAATTCAGTCTCTGGGATTAATGACTGAATATACAACTAACAGTGATACCGGAAAATGGCTTAAAACATCATTTGGGTTGACATATTTAAACGCCGATGAAGTTGGAGACTGTTTTGTGTTTGACTTAATGGCAAGTAAACCAGAAAATGCCGTTCTCGATAGGTATGCCGATTACCTATTAGAAACATATATTGAAGAAAATTCTACATTTCCTCCAAGTATATGGGCAGAAAAAACAGCTTCAATTACAAGAACTACAAATGCCTGTGAGTCGTTTCATTCAAGGTTTAATTCTTCATTCTACTGTACACATCCTTCTGTATATATTTTTATAGAAAAGCTTAAAGACTTTCAAATCGACACGTATGTCACAATACAAAGCTTAAGTATACCTAAGAAAATCAAAGACAAAAGTGTAAAACAAAAAATTCAGTGTTTAGAAAAATTTATACAGCGATTTGATCTGCAGCAAATCAGCAGATTAGAGTATATAAAATTTGTATCACATTTATCCCTCCCAGTTGAAAAATATGTAAATAAAATATAAATATATAAAAAATATAATATAACTTATGTATACTTACTTTTTTATAATAATAAAAATTAGTGTTTAATATAATTTTTAGTTTAATTAATAATGTGTTTTTACTTTTCGATAATATATAAAAAATAATAAATGAAAGATATATCTATTATGATTTATTCAGTTAGAAATAAATTTGGGCAAAATACCAACAGGATTAAGATGACCTTTTACTTGCTGTGGGCAAAGTACCTATATGATTAGCAGCTTTAAATATTTTGTGGGCAAATTACCTCCACCCGTGTAATGTCCGGTTTATCACCCTTTTTAAATACCGGACAAACGTCAAAACATAGATAGAACAAAATTTGAGACAAATATTTAAGAGAACTTTTAAGGGATGGCGAGAATTGAAGCGCAGTCTTTCAAAACAAAGGATGGAATATTATCTGGCCCCAGTCATTTTAGATTTAATTGATTTTAACGTATTTTTAACATCTTTTTAAATTTATGTTTAAATTTGATACATTTAATAAACTAACCTCAGAATTTGGCTCAGTAGAATCGCTGATGACGTAGCCATGTAGGGTACCGGGACAATATTATAAAAAAAATTAAGCCCTTTCGATATCACATTTCTAAAAAAATAAAACGTCTGCCGGACCCCCTTGTGTCCGGGCCCCAGGAATTTGTCCCGCCAGCTCACCTCTCGTCGGGCCTGGACGTAGCGCCTAACTGGGACGGCATCGCGGGCGGTATAAAGTAAGCACAGACTTTGAAAGCTTATAAGTTCGATAATACTAATCTTATCGACTTGAAATAAACGCCATGTTCTTAAAAAGTTGTATTTGTTTTTGATACAAAAAATAATACAGATTTTTTTTTAATTTTCCACGCCCATTGAGAATGGCGAGGGCTACATCATCGAGAGAAATTTTGCTAGAAATTAGCTCTAAATTATAATGAGTGGGAAAGAGAAAATGTAGAATATTGAAATGCGGTTAGAAATTGCGACGTACGTGATATTTATCACGTTTGTAGAAAACATATTTAGCTTGTACTGTATATTGAATGCGTGGGTTTGAACAGGGGCGGCTCAGGAAAAGCTGTTTAAATTTAAGAATTTATTATGAAATTTAAACAATTTTAACTTAAATATATTAGTGCGTAATTGTTCAATATTTCATCTTGTCGCGCAAACAGGTTTTAAATAAAAGTTTAAAAAATATATATTTTTATTTGCCAGACCAACACGCTACACCCTGTATATCTAAAAATATTTTTAAAATACGTATTTTTTAAATTCATATAACTTTTATTTAAAACACGTTTGCGTGTCAATAACACAAATTTAAATATTGAACAATTACGCATTAATGGGACACCCTGTATATATTTATAATAAATCCATAAAAAATGTATACAAATAAACATTAAAGGTGCTAAAAAT